GTCATCACACGCACAGATAGAGTAGAAAGAAAAGAGTTTATATAGAATACTAGTGGACCCCACAGACGTTGTCCTGCATGATATTTTTAAGGGTTTGGGGGTTTTAGAAAGGGGTGAAGGGCCTTGCGTTTTTTTTTTTTTTTTTTTTTTTTTAATATATGAGCACCAAAGATTAGAATATTGAGTCATCACTGTTTAGTCTTATTTACCTTAACTTAGTTTTTTGCCGAATAGTATGAAATGTGTTACTAAGCAACTAAAGTAACAAATTTCCTACATCTGTAGCAACAACTACATAGCGTTAAGTGATGACAAAAGGAGAATGCAGTGTTTTGTTTGCAAAAAATATTGTGTAACTCGTTCTACCATTAGCGTAGACCACCTTTATAAAAAATTACATTTTATTTGCTTCAATTTTTCAATTATATAATTTTATTGAGATTAAATTAGACAATCAACCTCAATAGGATATAAGCTTAAAATAAATCAATGGCGCTACAACCTTTTTAGGTCTGGGCCTCAGACTTCTGTATCTGTTTCATGATAATTTGGTAATCTAATAGGCAAGTAGGTGATCAGCCTTCTGTGCCTGACGCACGCCGTTGTTTTTTGGATCTAAGGCAAGCTGGTTACCTCACGATGTTTTCCTTCACCGTTCGAGCGAATGTTAAATGCGCACATAGAAAGAAAGTCCATTGGTGCACAGCCGGCGTTCGAACCTACAACCTCAGCGATGAGAGTCGCACGCTGAAGCCACTAGGCCAATACTGCTCACTCAGGATATAAGCTTAGCGATATAAAAAACCCGAGCAATTAAATAATTAAGCGTGTATCGTGAAACACGACGCAGCAATGTAGAGCGACGCGTTTAGATGAAAGTCTAATTAATTGCCCAAATATAGGAAAACATTTATTCTGAATGGGATAACGGGCTGTAAAATTTATAAGAACAGTTAAAAAATATATATATTTAAGTGAAAAATGAAATAGCTACCTTGCTTGCAGTCAAGTAAAAAATTAGCTATTAAGTTTTTGTCAAGTTCTATCTGTCCTCAAGAATTACTGAAGCGTAGCGCGTTAATCTGAAGCACAGTTACCACAAACATAAGTAATAATACTAAGTGGTCTACTACAAAAATATATTAAACTCGTTTAAAAACTGTTGAGGATGTCCTTTGCAAATAATAATAGGACACGCAATACAATATTGATCGCAATGTCGAGATTCCCCTTTAAACTTTACGTACTGAGTATAAGTCGGTCATTCGTGCCGTAATAGCCTTTATTAGAATCGAATAACAGTCCTTTATGAAGTATACCAAATCAAATTAAACACCTAACAGAAAACATTTCGAAAGAAGGGCAACTAGATATGCTTGTTCAGCAAATCTGTCCGATATTAATAACTAGTTAAGTATTAGTACAAGGCTAAATGCAGCCCTTGAGTGTTCTAGAGACTCGCCTTCATCACTCCTCGAGAGCTTTGAGGGCCCTTCATCATCGTAAACGTTTATTTCTCAAGTCTTTGTTCAATGTAGCAATATTCAGCCTGTTTATATTTCTCCTAGGAATATATACATTTTACCAAAAATATGTTAGATACTATATTATAACATTTGTTTTATGTATATATAACGAATAAACTTATAAACTAAATGTTCCACCATTCAATTCATTGATTGCTACATTATCCTTGAGTAACATTTTTATTTCCAAAATATTTAAAAAATAAACGTTCAGCCGTGCAAAACTGGAACGGGCCGCTATTTAGTAATTTCACAGCAAATACAAATCGCTTCGGAAATTCACAAACGATAATAAATCTAATTTCGTATTAAGACTTATTCAAAATTGTGATATTTTTATTATAAATAGTATGTATAATAGAAGTTAATTAATTCATGGCGCTACGTTATAACGAGTCAGTGATTGTGCACTAATTGTATATTTGTTGTATTGGTTCGCAGGTTAATTAATGTACAATTGTTTTTTTAAACGACAATAATAATTGTATCTATTATTGTTTCGCGCACAAACAATAAGCATATTTCCCATGGTTTAGTTTCGTAATTATTTAAGCTGTTTACTTAATTATCATATCATAATATGTACTCAAAAACAAAATTTAATAGTTATTTCCGCACAGAAAAATATAAAAATACGAACTCACAATGAATATTCGCAATCCAAGCCGGCTCGTTTGAAGCCGACGTATACTGTATATCACAAACAGTAGTTGCACCCTCAAGAACAAATTGTTAAATGCTGGGACCACGGAATAAACAAACTGCACGCAACACGCGTGCGCAACGCGGGCCTGTCAGACCCACACTTAACGTTTTGCTTTGACTTTACATTCTGCCAGGCGCCAACTGTTGCCGCGAATGAGGAGATTGGCGAGAAAGATACTAGAGGATTAATGTCTTTCTAAAAAATGTACTGCTTTAAATTGTATGTTTCACTTTGCTAAACGTTGAATAAAATTATTATGCATATCTCTTTCAAAATATATATGGTTAATTTTAATAAGTTTTATCTTATTTTTAAAAATTACAATGTAAGAAAGCAAAGAATTACATTTCTTATTTTTTGTATTAAACACCATTAATTTATTAATTTAGGAAATTAGTAAGCGAGTGATTTTATAAAATAGATATAATAGAAATCTTCGTTTAAAAATTGAGCGAAATTTAAAAAAAGGGTGCGTGTACTTATGTACGCGCGTAAGAAGTTATTAAAGCTTTGGCATTATTAAAAATAGTTTTTGATTGCATGCAAATAATTAATTACAATTAAATAATCAAAGACTGGAAAAGGAGTCATTATAGTCAATAAAGTTCAGTTTACATTTGAAAAATTAAATAATTATTATTATTCTCTTACATTAAGTGTAACATAAATTCTATTATTATTCGAATGTGTTTTTAAATTATGTCCAATGCCGTAGCATCTTCCGTGGGCAACTTCAATCTGTTAATTTTGTGTCACGGTGCGAGCGCATCGTAAAATTTCACTCTTATCAATTTTTCATAACGCGCCTAAAGTATAACTTCAATAAGAAATGTACTAAAATTAAATTAGGTTACCTGAAAAAGAAAACTCTAAAATACAAAATCAAAAATTTATTCAAAAAACTAGTCTTACTTACATATTTACATTTCATTTTATTTTACATCTAAATCAGTCTGACTGAACATCATCGAATGGTGAGTTTATTAATTTTATTGCGACACAAGATGGACCTTTTATGGACTAAAAAATTAAAAACTCCCTGTTGAGGTTGATCATTGATAAATATATATATGACTGATTATGTTGCGTTGTTCCATTAATAAAATTTGTCTAATCGAGATATTTAATAGGATTTCCCATACTATTCCTCATTTCCATTGATATTACCATTGAAAATTTAACATTAATTAAGAATAGAAATATCTGACTGAATACCTTAGAGAATATTTAACGGGTACAGATAAAGTTGAGATTAATTTTCATGTAAAAAATATTCCCCTATTAAGTTATTTAAATCAGAGACAGAAATTGCAAAGGCGTGCGCTTAATCTGTGACGCTCCTATATCTAGATTATCTATCATTATCGTAATTTGTCATTTTACAAATCTTACTTGCCAGCAATAAGATCCACATAAAACAATTTTTATCTCCTACTTAAGCAATCGCAACTGGCGATCCTACTTTATATAAAATAGATTATCCCATTTTTATGTTTAGGGAAAAATCGTACGCTTTTTTATTTTAAGAATGTCTATAAAATGTAATGAATATGTAGAATGTGTTATTTTAATTTTTTTACATTTTTACGCCATGTGGCTGAAGTATTGACTTAAACATTTTTTTCAAACAATACCTGCTTATGATTGGCTAAATCAACGTTAACATGACATTAATTACAAAAACAGATTAAATATTGTAACTAAAATTTTGTTTTTTTTAATAAATGCATGCAGCATTGCTTCTTTTGGATCTCAAATACCATTATGGGGAATGGGACAGACACAGTTCTGTGATCATTGAAAGAAAAGTGTCAAGGCTTCCAACACGAAACAATCACTTTAATTTGGATCACTGCGCGTTACAAAATCCTGCGGTCAAAACTTCTATAAATTATATAAAACATGGAGTCATTTTTTAATACAACATAAATGTTCTTAATAATCTAAACTTAATATATTTGAACTTAGAATACCAATACAAGCGGATCAGTCATTCATTTTCAACTGTATATTACGAACCCCCACAAGACTGTCTGTTGACTAATCACACATAGGAACAATATGAATAGTAGGCCGGGAGATAGTGCCACAAAATAGTGGGTCGTTTGTACCAGTATGGCGGTTCTTCGGGGTTCTTATTACGCAATGAAAAAAGAAAAATGATAGTCATAGCGCTGGTAACGGCGGCCCAATCGCGTGGGCGTCGAACTCGTCGGATTAATTAGTGTGTCAAACGATTTGTTCCACAAAAATCCTACTTTTTCCGATAGTCCATAAAAAAAGAGGCGGCAGTGTCATGCACTACTTTTCCGGTGTGACTTACAACCCGCCATACGAACGCGAATGCGTTTCATTTGGCTTTTTTTCATTGCGTAATAAGACCCCTGAAGAACCGCCATACTGGTACAAATGACCCACTATTTTGTGTCACTATCTCCCGGCTTATAATGATTTAGTAAAAAAAGGTTTTTTGTATGGGAAAAGTTAACCGCGCTCCGTGGGCGTACGTACACTTGAATGAACGAACACTTGACTGAAGTGCGCGTAGATCTATTTTTATTGGAGTTTTCGTCGATCTGTTACGTCATTATAGTTCGACAGTAATCATGTTGGAACTTAACATACAAATTGAAACTATATAATTTTTGTACTTAAATGAAACGAGCCGTACCAAGAATGATATTAGTACGAAAAATCACCCGTTTTCCGGAAAGCGTATATCGTATTGACGTAGAGGAAGCCGTAAGTCTTTTAGCCAAGCACTAAAGCTACTGGTCCATACTTTGGTCGGTATCGTGATGAGTGAGACAGGCGTACGTATACTTTAAGAGATAGTGTAGACGCGGGTCTTCAGTCAATCGAGATACTTCTTTCTGCTCCAATATCATCTCCAACGGGGGAAGTAAACTCTCGACGTCGGCGCCTAAAATTGTATTGAAATTAAAGTTATACAAACAGAAGACCGAAATATGACTTGAAGGTAAATAATAATATAATAGTTTTTTTAACGCTTTTTGGTACTGAATATAAAGTGTATACAAACCAAAACTTTAAAAAGTTCTCAGTTATTAAAAAAAGCGTGCGTGTACTTATGTACGCGCGTAAGAAGTTATACTTCTTTGGCTTTCTTTATTTTTTTAAATATAACTAATTAATAATTAATATTTAACGTAAACAATTTAATAATATTTAATATTAAGTATATTATTCAATTATTAATTAATATTAATAACAATTATTATTACTATTTATTATATTATTCATTCAATTTAATAACTTGGTATGTTTCATAACCTTTTAACTAAGTAACTATAGGTCTTTGTGAAAAAGCATTGTTAAATTTCTTTGAAAAAATAATTAAAACTCCTTTATTTGTTTAAAAGGTAAATGTCATTATGGTCATTCAAAATTCTTGGCATAGCTGCTAACTTCACGCATATTCTATTTCTTTTTACTTGTAGATTGTCTAATTCCCATCTCGCTTGCGCACGCTATAATCACACTGACAACTTAGTGTCTCAGGTGCGCGCGCTTCGTAAAATTTCACTCTCATCAATTTTTCATAACGCGCCTAAAGAAGTATAACTTCAAAAATATCTTCTGTTCCTTAAGTGAATACTTGCTGACATTTAAAAGTTTTACATTACAATACTCTGATTTTTAATTCCGTAGAATTCTGACAGCTATCATTTTTTGACATGTCAGAGATTACAAACCTTTTTGGCCGGGCACATTTTTCAATTTCAATACGAGTCTGAACATCTGAGTCTATACATACATTTTATTGTTAGTGAATTTTATTAAGTGCTGTGCTCACATTAATAGTGGTTTTACGGCGAGTGATAATTGCGTCCCTTTTCATCACAAATAATAAAAAAATACGTAACATTTTATTTTTTATTGTCCTCAAATGTGTCAAACTTGTCCCTTTTTCGGTGGAGAACTTCGTTAGTAGCAATAGTTATGAAATGTCAGAATTCTACGGAATGAAAAATAAAAATATATATATATTTTAATGTACTGTACTGTCTGGAAGAGATCGCTTATTTGTTCGCACCTGTTACACTACAAACATAATTCTTTACTTTAAATGTGAACATCATACCCATTATATTAAGAAGGTCTATCAGTCGATAGAAAAGAGTCTCTTGTACGGCATGTTGCGGGTCTTCTACGCTGACGTGCGACCAGTCCTCGCGAATGATTGACGCGCACCATACCTGCGAACACATTTTACTTAAAACGCTTGACTAAACATAAATAATATTAAACTAAAAAACCCATAATCGAAAAAGTTATAAGAACAAAGTAAAATGTGATTAAACTAAAATTAAATTATATTTCGGAGATTGAGCCTGTGTTGAAATGTGCCAAAGCGATGTCACTCTTCGTATATTATATCGTCTAAGCTGAAAAGTTTTCTTACAAATCCTGAACTAACCAATTCTTATTAGAATCAAATATTTTTATTAGAAAATTAAACTGTGAATATTTATTTTACTTACCTTCAATCTAAGCTCTTCTCGTAGTTCTGGGTCTTCCACAAAATCAGTGAGATCGAGGGCCTTTTTGTAGTCGTACTCTGTTAGCGATGTGCTCTCCGCATCAATATACATCTGTTAAGGAGAAAATATTTTTTTAAATCTTAATATATACAAATTACGCGTCACGTTGTTTGTCCGCTATGGATTCCTAAACCAGTTAACAGATTTCAATAAGTGTGTAGTTTGATCTAATTTACAAGATAGGATAGCTAGACTGTACTATACGTGTGTATGGCACTGAACTCCTATTAAACGGCTGGATCGATTGGAATGATTTTTTTTGTATGCGTTTGTGTGGAGCTTTGGATGGTTTAGATTCACAAATCAGCCCGGCAGTTGGCGCTGCAGTCGGTACTTTCATACTTTGTTTAATATCCTTATCGCTTGAAATATCATGCAGGACAACGTCTGTCAGGTTCGATAGTAAAATATATGTAATATGTTGATAAGTTAAGAGCATTGTTGGCCTAATGGATTCAGCGTGAGTCTCCCATCTACGAGGTCGTAGATAGCCAGCTGTGGTCCAATTGACTTTCTGTCTATGTACGCAATTAACACTCGTACGGTGAGGGAAAACATCGTGAGCAAATCGGCTTAGACCCAAAAAGTCCTAGAAAGGCCTAGAAAAAACAAATGAACATGAAACATATACAGGAATCTGAGGCCCAACTCAACTGCACAACTGCACATACTATGTGTACTGTTAAACAATTTTTTTTGATGATACACATTAAATATGTATAGTATTTTAATCTAAAATTTGCAAGATCTAGATTACAAATAAAATGCACAGTGGTCACATACCTGCACCAACTCTTCCGGGTCAGATATCTTCATATCGTGTTCTCCTAAGCCATAGTGGAGTCGTATATCTCTGGGCAAGGCGCGATGTTGGGCTCCCAAACTTAACACCGTTTCCGACTGTTGAAATTTGTCACGCAATTGGCCCTTGCTTTCGTCACTGGCCACAAGACACAGCTTTGCTAGAGATGCCATTGTCTGTAAATTAAATAATATAAAAGATAAGAATACATTTTGGATATTCCATCCCATTTATGTAAGTTATGGAATACGGTTACCGTATTGATTAGTTCCCTCTATATACTCTGATTTTTAATTCCGTAGTCATGTCAGAGATTACAAACCTTTTTGGGCAGACACTTTTTTCAATTTCAATACGAGTCATCATCTGACTCTATACAAACATTATATCATATTTGTTAGTGAATGTATCCATTTTATTAAGTGCGGTGCTCAACATTAAAAGTGGTTTTACGGCGATTGATAATTACGTCCCATGTCACCACAAACAGTAAAAAACGCACAAGTAAAGATAAAAATTTTTTTTTAAAGGTCTAAACCTGGAATTGGTAGGCAGTGATGCCAGCTAAAGAATAAAATAAAGTAATTAAAGTTAATTCGATATATTGAAATATTTGTTATTTTTGTATTAGATCACTTGAGTAAGTAAATATTAAGATTTACCTTTTTGTAGTGTAATTTACCTTTTATCGGCCTAAAATGGGTCAAATTTGTCCCTTTTTCGGTGGAAATCTTTTTTAGTAGCAACATTTATGAAATGTCAGAATTCTACGGAATTAAAAATCAGAGTATAGACGGTCTTAAGATTAGAATCTAAAATAATTTTGTAATCACGTTTATATTCAAAATGTGTAAAATATTAATGCATAGACATACCACCATCCTATTAACTGAATCCCGCTCATCCTTAGCCATCTGCAGTAGTGTGATCGCAGCATCACTTAACGGGGCTCGAGCTAATTGGTGAACGGCAAGCAGTTCCCGTCTTTGGGGCGCTGCGGCCAACCATCGGGCAAGACGACCTGGACGACGCTCGCCTAATCCCCGAAGCAATTGAGCCCTATCAGGCCCAGAACCCGATGCTAGATAGGCAAAGGCGGTCTCTGCTATACCCTTTATAATAACAATCTTAGTCAATAATGTATGTATTTGGGTTATCGAATGAAAAGTCTAGGGAACCAAGCCCTCGCTGGAAAATAATCTCAGATGATTATGATTTATTAATAAACATTTATTCACATACATTAAATTACAACATTGAATGAAGGATGGAAAAAAAAATTGAATTGGACAGTAAAATATTTTATAAGAATCGTAACACTAAATTAAATAGGCAATAAGAAAAGAACCATTTCCTATCTTCACATAGAAATTACGCCGTAAAGTAATAGCTACTCATCCTCCGAGTCTCAGACACTTGAAAATACAGTGTAAATTCTTTATAACGATACTCAAGGGACTGTGCCTATTTTAACGTTACAAGGAGCCGTAAAATGGAAAGAAAAATCTGTATTAGAAAAAGTTTTATTTCAGACTAGTGTTAGTAATTACATAAAAACGATTCGTATTTGAACGCTCTTGCGTTGTCTGTTATTTTTGTACTGTACCAGTAGTTAGGTTGTCTTTTTTTACTAATTTAATTCATACTTGGCATATTCGGAAAGTCACTATCTTTGGAAAGTTCGGTACGTATGATGAGTACCGACAGTTGAGTTATTTCTCGTTAGGACAATAAAGCTACAAATTTAGCTCCGCAGTTTTAACTAATTTCGGCAACTTAAAAAGTACTGTACAGTAATGCAGAGTGTATCATTGTATGGAACTCAAACTCAAAATATCTTTATTCATGTAGGTAAACAAGTACACTTATGAATTGTCAAGTTAAATTAATTGTAAATTTACATTTACTACCAGTTCGCAATTCAAGGGCGTAGAGCTGGTAAGAAGAACTGGCAAGAAACTTTCCGCCACTCTTTTTAATCGCCAAGTATTGTCATACAAATTGTTTGAACTGGAGCAAATCAATCCCAAGGAATAGGATCATTTAAGTATTCCTCAAATTTATAAAAAGCTTTATTGATTAATTTTCGTTTTCGTCGAAGACAAGCTAAACCAATCAAAGCCGAGTAATTTCGACGCTTTAGGGGTTTTGTCGTTACGACGACGTTACACGGAGTTTACACTGTATTTATGAAACCAAATCTAAACCTGAAGAAAATTTAAGATAAAAAAATAATTTAATCAAAACATACCTCGTGTTCATACTTGTCGACGTAGTTGTACAATCTTTCAGAGTCGGGTTTACGAATACACATTTCCACCAATAACTCCCACGCTTTGAACTTTTCGGCCAATGCCGCAGCGCGATCCACTTCGCCTTCCGCAACTATTAGTATAAATGCCATTTATTAACCAGAATATTTAATTTAAAATATTGTTCCAAATCGGTAATTAAAACCTGGCATGTCTCCTGAGATTCTGAAGACTTGGCGCTACTGTGTACGAATACGGATTTGGAAATACGGGGGTCAATTCACGCTTATGCCCGCCTTCCACTGCGAGCGGAACGGACCCATTACGGACTCCGCTATAAACGTAACGTTGATTTTCATACATTCATTTTCAACTCGCTAACCTCATATGTGACTTTCAAATCGCTCTCTCCGCTGCGCTCGTCTCCGTCGGAAGCACATGTATGAAAATCATCGTTACGAGTATAGCGGAGTCCGTAATGGGTCCGATCCGCGCGCAGTGGAAGGCGGGCATTAAACTCGACTCTGAATCTTAAGCACTCGAGTCGCAATCAGACCCAAAAATCTACGATAGTTTTAGCTTCAACCAAAAATATTTTTTTAATAATATATATATATATAGATAACTTACTATATGGCCGAATAAGATCCTTTCGCAAACGGTGATAGGTGTGTTCAGGCAGCGTCTGCGCATCCATTAGTAATAAGTCGGCTAGTACGGCCGATGCCTCCAGAACCTGCGCGCGCGAACTGGCGTCTTGGCAATTGTGTGCAGATTCGCTGATGATTCCAAATTTAAAATAAAATATACCGCATATACGTCTAATAATCAAGTAGGGTATAGTAATGTCTAGTATAAATTTATTTCTAAGAAATTGCTTGTATGTTCAGGCTTTAAATGTCATATAAATTTAAGAGCAATTATTAAACTACTTAATTTTATTCTGATGTTAAGTGATACCGCCCATAGACACTCAAGACCAAAGGGATCGCGAGTGCGTTGCCGGGCTTTAAGTAATAATGCATAGTTATAAAAAGTTGACTACTAAAAATATTGTATTAGATTACTCTAGTAAATACAAAAAGATTAGTTAAGGGACCGTTCAAGTATTACGTAACGAATTTTGGGGGGGTCCTTTTATAAAACGTTACGATGCGGGGCGGGGATTGAATTACGCGTTATTGTTAATATTATTTTCGACTTTCCAGTACTTTACACCACATGATGGCAACTTTAAGGTAATCTCCAAAATTTGCGTGACGTAATACCTGAACGCTCTAACTCCTAATCTGTATACTATTGACTTACGTGACAGCTGTAGTATGGTACCGCACCAGAAGAGACAGATCAGCGCAAGGCTCGCAATCGGTCTCTCCCTCGCACCAGCTCGTCCATTGGCTCCGGACTTTGTGCATTTCGTTAAGTATCGTCTAGAAATTTAACATAATTTCATGTTGAAAAATGACTGTACGTTGTACGCGTACCGTGGTATTGTTGAAGTGAATTAGGATTTGAGCCAAACCAGAGAATGCATACATTCCATTGTTCGACTGTTATCTGAACTCTCGATTGTTAAAAAAGAAAGTATTGTGTATGGCTCGGTAGCATATTCGAATGGATTCTGTTAAAAGTATAGTTTTTAGCGCACAAATGTGGTTATCAATTTTATCTAATCCTATGTATTTTGTTGAGATATTATGTTTAAATTTTCAAGCAAAGTTTGTAAGGAATTATATGTTAGTCAACCGATTATTCAAAAACTAAATCATAATTTGGAAATTATATTATTTTTATTTAAATCAGATCAATTCGAATAAATTCTTAAGGAACAGTTTTATCAAAATTTGAGTAGTTTTGAGATATCTACGCTTTTCTGGCAAATGTAGAACATACTAACCTGGGTAAAAATTTTGACAGGTATTTGAAGCCGGTTTAATTTTTCCAAACTTTCGTGTCTTAAACCAAATAAATGTGCGTCTATTGGAAATACAAAGTAAACTTACCGTTATAGCACGCAATGCGTGATGCGCATGTGCTGCGGCCGCATTCGCGTCGACCGCGGGCGCTGGCAAACGGGCCAACACGTTCACCGCACGCATCACGCGCGTCACGCGGCGTAGAACTACATCAGCGGCCGTGAGTGCGCCCGCACTTAGCGCCGCACATACTTCCGGCTCTTCTTCTGCGTCGCAGTCTGACGAAACCTGCGTGTAAGACTCATTTTTAATTAAATACTCTAAACGCAACATAAGACCAAATGATCATGAAACAGATACAGAAATCTGAGGCCCAGACCTTAAAAGGTTGTATCGCCACTGATTTATTTTTTTATTTTAAACGCAACAGAAATTAGCCTATATAGAGCCTAACAATTTATATTTACCTGTTTCATACTTTTAATTACAAAAAAAATTACATGACTGTCAGAAGTACGTAGTATTGTCCTTTATTGACATAACCTTTACACATTTAAAGAAAACAGTTTTACACTGGATTGAAGTTATGTATTATTATAAATTTAAAATTATGTAAAATAATTGTAAATTTATAATAATACATAACTTCAATCCGGTAAAAAAAGTGGTTTCTTAATGTCAGAAGTACGTTTTAACACCGTGTACAGCCTGTCTGCCCATGGACTGTAAAGTGTTTACATGTGAGAGGTGCCAGGACAATATAGAGTGATGTTATTGGCAAAGTAACATAGTATAGAGTGATGTTTTTTTTTTTGACGTTCAAAAGTGCCATTCTACCATCTAAGGTCTAATTGAAATAAATGATTTGACTTTGACTTTGAAGTACACTTAATTACTGAATCTACCCCTAAGAATCCCTAAGCCCTCCCTACACATAAATAGTAGATATTTCAATACTTACGAGATGTCTGCACGAAGAGGCATATGTCAGACAGAACCATACAAGTTGAAGGTTGAAGGAGTCTCCGCCATTTTGAAAAGATATGAGAATTGAACACACGGTATAAGTAGAAATATCACCTGTTGCATGGCGGCATCGACGAGCGTGGCCCCGGCACTGTGAAGCCTTTGCAAGGCACGCGCGGCCGCGAGACGTTCCGCCAACGTACATAACACGCGTACGCTACGCACACATCCGCATCCACTCTCTAAAATACGTGTTCATATTAAAACCGGATTACAATTAATAAATAAAACGAGGATGCGATTCACAAAGAATAACTAAATTATTGTCTACAATAAATTCCGTAGACCTATGATAGAAAACTTCTAACATACATGAAACTGATACTTATTTATAAAAATATGTCTGAAATAATTAATTAACAAAAAAATAAAAACATTTCTTTTTTTTTTTTTTCAATTTCTGTTTTTATTATACCAAAACCGTGAATTAATATTAATTTATTTGTATTAGAGCTAAAAATTAAAATCTTTTACTATACAAAAAACCTCATTCAAATATTACCCTACCTTTGCTGACGTATCCAAGACGGTGCCAAAGGCCAGCGGCGTGCAAGAAATCTATATAAAGTGTAAGAGCACGGTGCTTATCTCGCAGCTGACCGGACGCTTGGAGCGCGCCCGACGAACCCAGCGACACACGGCTGCTACCCGTAAGGATGCGCCATCTATAATTACAAAAAGTAGTGGTTCTGGTGTAAGTAGTTACAAAATAACATTAACAATGACTTGAATGTAATTAGGTTTAGAATGTAATAATATATTATATCAATGGGGCCGTTCAAGTATTACGTAAGCAGATTTACTGCAATTTATCTCTTTCCCCCCCTCTCCTCTTTCAACAAAAGTAAGCAAAGCTCTAAAAAATAACAGTATTATGTAAACGTATTAGTTTTTTGTAGAAATCCTAGAAAATGCATTACGTTTTCAAGCATAGACAATGTGTGGTTAATATATGTAAAAAAGTAAATTATTACTGTTGACGTAATCACCAAATAAGAAAATTATAACTTGAACGGCTCCAATATTGTCCAAGGCAATTATTTTTAAATTCCCCATATTTCATAAACGCTTTATGTTAACACACACACACACACATGGAAATCGCGCTAAGTCTCGATACTATAATGTTACTCATGGCAGAAAAACTAATTTGATAGTTATAAGAAATATACCTAGGATCTCCAGCAGGGACATCATCCAACATTTCTGAAGCGACCGCGATGACAGTTCTATCAAGAGGCGCGTCTACGTCACTGGGCGTGGCCCCACGCGAAGGGAATAGTTCAGCCAGAATTTTGCCCGCATTTGCATCGCGTCGTAGATGGAATAAGAAGGCGGCTTTGAGCTTGCCACATGCATCCGACGTTGTTATACCAATCTGAAAATAATTATACTAAAATAAATAAAAAAGTAACTCGCAACGTTATTTTACATGTTTAAACAATAGTATTGTCTTTTATTGACATAACCTTTACACATTTAAAGAAAAAACTTTTTAACTAAAACAATCGAGGACAAAATAGAAAAAATAAACAATTACAAATAGAGGACACCGTGAGCCATTTTTGCCAAAACCCTCCATCTTTTAGTCGATACCAACTCCGGGGGAAATAAATACAGATAATGCAACTTTCTCTACAGCTGTGATACTTTTTGATATCCAACACCTTTTGTCTTCAATCACCGTGACCACGCACGCTGTAAAGCACGCGAAACGTCGGATAAATTTAAAATTATGCTAAATAATTTTAAATTTATAATAATACATAACTTTAATCCGGTTAAAAAGTTTTTTCTTTAAATGTTTAAACAATTTATATCGGTTTTGTATATTGTATTATGATTGAAATTTATTTTTTGTCTATTATTATCCTTTATTAACTGAAGGATCACCAAGAAATATATAAATTATAACAATAAAATTATATTTAAATAAATATATAAAATTCGCTGATAACGAAGGTTTAAGAACAAAATATGCAAAAATATATAGAATTTATAAATTTTAATTTTTCAAACTACCTCATGTGGATCAATCTCATAGAGCGTAAGGTTTCCGTCGAATATGTCAGATGGAGAGGGAGAACCCATTGGGCTGCTAGTAAAAGATCTGAAAATTTATAAAAATTATAATAATTAATTATTATTAGTCAATATTAAGTAATGTATTGTAACAATTAATTAGAAATGCATAATGAAAATATATTTATTTTAAGTTAATATGATATAAATATGGAAACAGTTAAAAATACAGTCTTTGTTAAAAGAGAACTTTGAGTTCGCAGCAGTTTAGCACTGCTTTTATGTAATGTTTACAATATTGTTACATTACTTTCGACATTTTGATTCTTAATATAAAAAAAGTATATCTAATATATAAAATACTCGTGTCACAATGTTCGTTCCCATACTCTTCCAAAACGTCTCGACCGATTCTTATGATTTTTTATGCATATTCAGAAAGTCTGAGAATCGGCTACTATCTTTCAAACCCCTAAGTGATAAGGGGTGTCCACCCCATATTTTATTTTTATTTTTTTATGATTCACCATACAACAATACATACAACCCTTAATTTTTATCTACCCTCTACGATCAACCCGTATTTTTTATTATAGTAGATAGTTATTTTTATTGAACTAAAAATTTTTTTCCTAGAAATAATATACATGGCAAAACGACGTTTGCCGGGTCAGCTAGTAATTAAATAAGAATTTGCACAGCCGCCATGCCAGTCGCTTTCTACAGACTGTATACTTACTGATGGGTCTCATGATGGGTTGAAAGCGCCATGGTGAGGCGTAGTAGTCCGTGCTTGCGAGTAACCAACAAAGCCCCGTTCCCGCCCCTTCCCGCGCCCAACACTCGGTCGCCTTCCGCGGACACATCTACGTGTTCCGGCTTCTCGTTGGCCACTGAAGCTATATCAATAAAATTATTTTTATAATTTATTCTACTTTGTATGAAAAATAAGGTGATTCGTTTTTTTAACTATTAATTAACATTACAAAAATTTGTTGTGCATTGTCTTTTTTAATATAAACTCCTATTTATCTTCACATCCTCAGGTTTATCGACCATACCAACTCGTTAAAAAAAAGGGTGCGTGTACTTATGTACGCGCGTAAGAAGTTATACTTCTTTAGCATTATTAAAAATAGTTTTTGATTGCATGCAAATAATTAATTATAATTAAATAATTAAAGACTAGAAAAGGTGTCATTATAGTCAATAAAGTTCAGGTTACATTTGAAAAATTAAATATTTATTATTATTCTCTTACATTAAGTGTAACATAAATAATTTTATTATTTGAATGTTGTTTTTAAATTATGTCCAATGCCGTAGCATCTTCCGTGAGCAACTTCATTCTGTTAATTTTGTGTCACGGTGCGCGCGCATCGTAAAATTTCACTCTCATCAATTTCTCATAACGCGCCTCAAGAAGTATAACTTCAAAAATGGCTAACGAACTAACTATGGACTACAACCGTTACTAAATTAATCACTTTCTATTCACTATCAAGTATGGAGATCTAAGAATAGCATATATAATAATTGTACGTACTATCTGCGGGCACGATCGCAAGTGCGGTCGACGTATAGAGAAGCGCGCGTAGACCAAGTGGCAGACAACGCGGAGATCCTTCTTCCTGTCGCCCGGCTCCAACTGCGCATATACTCACCACTTGTGGTGACTCAGGATTTTCCACTCTTATTTGGGCTAAAAAAACATTTGCCATAAATATGTAGTCAAACTCGGAAAAGTGAGAGCTCAAGGGACCGCAATTTCTGTTATAGAGGTTCTCACTAACCCGAGTTTCTAGCTTACAGAGTTACAGGAGTCTGTCTCATATATAGAGGTAAGAAAGAAAGTATAGAAAACAATCACAGACGTACATTTGGTTTGAATTAAAAAGGAGTCCCACGAAATTTAAGAATGGGTCATAAATAGCAAAAGTTAAATGCGTTTAACGGTCGCTTATAAAGGTATAGGCAAGTATCAATCTCACTTGTAGAGGTTCACGCGTGAAAAGGAGGGCAAAATGACGGGATCCGGTAAATACTCTCATTAATAGAGTTTTCCCGCTTACCCAGTTGCCACTTACTCCGGTTTGACTGAACTTCAATTATTTCAAACGAAAACTTAAAAAGTTAATATAAACTTATATAACTTATATATAATGTACTATTAATATGTAACTACATATTTAAATTATACTCTACCAAATTCTTAAATTAAATATAAGATTGCTATTAGTGATTTTTATTATTATAAATACAAAATAAATAATATAAAATACTAATAATCAAATACATTTAAGACCACAAAGAATAAATATATTAATACTTGGGGGCCCCCCCCCCCCCCCCCCCCCCCCCCCCCCCCCCCTTCCCCCTTTTTTTTTTTTCTCTTTTGCCCCCCGGCCTTCCTTTTTTTTTTTTTCCCCCCCCCCCCCCCCTCCCCCCCCCCCCCTCCCCCGGGGGGGGGGGGGGGGGGGGGGGGGGCCCCCCCCCGCCCCCCCCGGGGGGGGGGGGCCCCCCCTTCTGGCCCCCCTTATATTGCTGATTCACTGAATGCTTAGCAGTATTGTTTTTAATGATACAAAGTTTCGTTAATAAGAATGAAAACAGAAAAATTAAATTTAAAGTACAATGGAATTAAATAAACATTTACTCACATAATAATAATAAGATTCTCAGTAGAAAAACTTACCTAGAGCATATCTAGTATCTGCAGGTCGAGCCGGTGTGACCGCAGATATGGTTGCCAAAAGTAGTAAAGTATGATCACCTGCCGCCTGCACATCCAACGCTGTTACCTCCATAGTACTTGGCTCACCTATAAAATATATGCATCTTTTAAATATCATAGAGCAGTGTTGGCCTAGTGGCTTCAGCGTGCGACTCTCATCCCTGATTTCGTAGGTTCGATCCCCGGCTGTGCACCAACGGACTTTATTTCCATGTGCGCATTTAACATTCGCTCGAATGGTGAAGGAAAACATCGTGAAGAAACCGGCTTGCCTTAGACCCAAAAAGTCGACGGTGTGCGTCAGGCTGATCACCTACTTATTAGATTTAAAAATGATCATGAAACAGATTCAGAAATCTGAGGCCAAGACCTAAAGAGGTTGTAGCGCCACAGTTTTTTTTTTAATATCATTTATTCTTGTAGGCACTTATGAATGTATCAATAATTAACTAGTTGTAGAAATAACATATAGGCTCTATATGTAACCTTATCACATTGTACATTATGCTGGAAAGCTAAAAAGACACTTTCTTTTGATTGATCTTCCAAAAATTTTAAATAATTAATAGATTTTTATCTATTATATAATATATAAGGCAATTAAGCACTGCTGCAATCTCTTATCACTGGATAGTGCTTTTTCTGCACAGACTCTAAATATAATTTATTTCATTTGTAAAAGTTTACCATGTGGAGCCAAATGGGCCCGAGCTGCTGCATCCAGTAATGGTCGACGTAAATGATGCTCATGCACATCGGATCCACACCACATCTGAAGAAGTGGTCCACCTGCTACCAGGCATATTAGTTCATCACTATCACTCTCCTCTTCATCAGTAGTTGGAGGCAAGTTTGGAAGAATGACCACACCAACTAACTTCTGTAATAAAAGAAGTTTTATTTAATGTGACTTTGGTAAAATTTAAACAGTTTTCTTGTAATTGAAAAAAATCTAATTTAAAATACGAAATTTGGTTGTTTAAATATATTTTCTTTGCAAAGTAAATAGAATTTTAATTAATTATTAATTTTCAATTAATAGGAAGAAAGTATATTTACTGTATCAGCATGAGCTGGCATTGAGCCAAAAAATAGTAGTGAGACACGTCTTCCAATACCACCAAGCCAGCCACTTGGGGGCCTAAGAGTGGTACAGCTCACTGTTGTTCTACCCTCTGAAAAGGAAATGAAATATAAACGGCTCATTATATAACAAATATAAAGCCATTTTGCACTATATACAGGAAATACATAAATCTTCTCAATGTATTCATGAACACCATCGAAATAAGTACAACCAATAAATAAATGAGATAATGGATTTAAGCTTGACATTATGCGAGCTAAGAAAAAATAGATTTCATTTCCTTACTGATTGATTTTTGAAGTTGTACTTCTTTAGGCGCGTTATGAAAAATTGATGAGAGTGAAATTTTACGATTGCACCTATGACACAAAATTGGCAGTGTGATATAGCGTGCGCGAGCGAGATGAGAATAAGACAAACTACAAGTAAAAGAAATAGAATATGCGTGAAGCTAACTTCACCATTTCTATAAACTTAACAAGAATTTTGAATGACCATGACAATTGACATCTGACAATGACATTTACCTTTTAAACAAATATAGGAGTTTTAATTATTGTTTAAAATTAATAATTATATACCTAGTTATTTTCATTATACAAAATATTTGTGAAATAATATAAAATATTTGTGAAAAAACTGTGCTAACCTTCCTGAGTGCTTCAATACAATTGAGGTTAACTATCCGTATGTATTATCGAGTATTATTGTTGATTAAAACTGAAACATGAACCATTATTCATTGCTTTTGTTTATTGCGTTTGTTACAGCAACTTTTTAGAAATATTCTACGACCCTATATATCAATAATTGAGAACAAAGATTTAAGCACGAATACTAATAAGGAGAAAATGAAGGCTTGGAGCGATATAACAGAGAAGTACATTTAATAAGTACCTGATCTCAAAAAAATACCACATTATTTAATCAAAAATCAGATTTAATCTAGCAAATATAAGGACAAGAGACAAAAAACAATTGATGAATCAGTGGAAGTGCACTAAATTGAATACAAAAAAGAGTTGTCATCTTATCCGTGAAACATCAAAAACTGGAGGTGGAACAAAGCCACCATCACCTTCTCGAGACACAATGGTTTGAAGTAGATTTCAATGAATTTGATTGTGATGGTGTCGAGGTAGGAATGTTAATTATAAATATGATGTATGGTGATGTTCAAGGTTCAACCTTTCAAGCATAGGCATATGCTTACAACATTACTTTATTCCCCTACAGGGTAGTTAGAGATATTGTAATACCTCAAAACATCCATGTTGCACTTGTAGTACCGAAACTCTGTCCTGCCAGAAGTGAGCCCATTCCCACTTATAATGGACAGTGGGTATAATACACCTTAATACCTGAGTGCGAACCACTCACATGATAAAATTAATAGATGTTATTATATTTCAGGTTATTACAAATAAAATCATTTTGGAAACAATTGATATCCCAAAAGCAAATAAACCAACAATGACAAGGTAATAAATCAGTTTGAATAACTGAATACTAAAAAAGCCAAACAAAGGTGTGCACAACAGTGACAACATAACTTAACAATTTCATTATTTTGTAGGATTAAAGAAAGGTTAAAAGAAAATCGTGTCGAACTGAACAAAAGAATCCCCAAACAACTCCAAAGAAACCTACAAGGAAGACACCGGTATTATATTTAAATTATCTCTATCTCTAAATAGAATAAAAGAAAGTTGCTATCCAGGTCTGTAGCATGTGCTACAAATTATATTACTAACACATTTATATAATTATATTAATATAAATGTGTTAAAAAATTATAATATGAATTATAAAAAATTTTAAGTTTTGCATGGACAGAGCTTAAATAATATTCTCTTATTGTTGCAGAAAGCAAGTAGTTTTGGAGAAGCCTCGTAGATGCACAACCAAGTAATGATTAATTTAAAATTACAAACCGAAATTCTGATGAAGACATTAGAGTCACTTAAAAATAAATAGTATAATGAAATAAAAATGTTTTAAAGATAAATAGTATTTTATTTGTTTAATGTAAGAGAATAATAATAAATATTTATTTAATTAATTTTTCAAATGTAAACTGAACTTTATTGACTTTAATGACTCCTTTTCCAGTCTTTGATTATTTAATTGTAATTAATTATTTGCATGCAATCAAAAACTATTTTTAATAATGCCAAAGAAGTATAACTTCTTACGCGCGTACATAAGTACCACGCACCCTTTTTTTTTTTTTTATAAATTAAACTTACCTCTATTAGTAGATATCTTGACTAAAGTACAAGTAGTAGTTGCAAGAAGCAATGATCCCAAGGTGGTACCGGTGTCATCTACTCTTGATACTAATCGATCACATTCTTGCCCTGCCAGTTCACAGCTAACTTCACTGTATGCACCCTCTTGCCCCACTGATGACCAGTAACGAACAATTCCTTCAGGTGAAACCCCAACACAGGAAGGTACAGTCTAAGAACAGATAAAATTAGAACTGGATGATTGTATGCATGTTCTATACATGTGGTAGCTTTTTACTAATTTTTAATTTTATAAGAGGTATACCTTATTATTAAATACATACATATTATTATATAATAAACACTATATGTACACTAAAAAATAAAGATCAGTATAGAGGTAAAAATACTATATACCTGTCAGACACAAAAGCACTACAATGTGACACCTTTTATAATTTTGAAGATGAAAGAAATCATAAAAAGAATTTCACATTAAATTACTATGTGCAAACTAGACACTGTTGAATTTTTTTTTTACCTGTACATCATTTTCATAGAAGATAAAAACAAGGTCAGCTTTGTGTGCCAAGTCAGTCTGGGGTAAAATGAGCTCACGAGCAGCTACTGGCCCTGATGAACCTGTCAGCTCCTGAGGCCAGGCCAGAACCCTACGCCCAGCTACAACCCAGCACCAACCAGATGGTGACATGCCTACACTCACATCACCACTGCCTAAAATTAAACAAAGTTTTATCTACCAACAAACTGATATGCAAAATGTGTAGACTAAAGTATAACATAAAAACGAAAAAGTAAAATGTAAAGGTAGTTTCAAGGATTATTAGAATCTAGATTGATTAAGATTGATATTTTAATTCATTACCAAATGTAAGAGCTTCAGTAACCATTACTGGGAGGGGCATTCCATAGGTCTCTATTGTGCTATGTGTTGTCTGATAAATCACGTCACCCATTTGCTGTTGCGATGTTCGGTCATATTTGCTAAAACGAAAGTAGTTTTCATTAGTAAAAGAAAATGAAAAAAAATATTCTAACCATTGATATACATAAAACCGAACGTATTATTTTTAACAGTATATGAGAAGGTTATGCATGTACCTCTGATTCTTTTTAGCTGTTGATAATCCAAGGGCTCGTCTTCCAGATAACGATTGCCTCACCCGTGGAGAGAACGGACTCCTCATTCCACCAGTACTATTGTAATCCATTATAAAACGTTTTAGAGAACTTTATTCTTGAATAAATAATAATTTGTAAAATGAAAATTTAATTAACCGCCAGACGCTAATGTGGACTATCAAATACTGTCATAATAGATGATTGACAACTGACACTAGATAGATAACAGTTATTAATATGCAGACAAAATTAGACAGACCATAAAGGTAGACTTAATACATTACATTGATGATGATGATTCAATTTATCCATACTAAGGACATTACATTGACAGTAGGAATGTGCACGCAATGCAACCCGTTATCGATGCTTAGCTACCTGCGCACGCAGGGTCGATGGGTCAACGTGACCTTCATTAGCATTGACACCTGATTGGGCGTTACGAGTAAGGGTTGTTGTTTTTCTATAAATATAAGATTTTTTGTTACATTACTTACGCTTCGTTACGCTATACGCACAATGGAGAATTTATTTTCAAACGTGATTTCGAAGAAATTAAATGGTGACATCAACGCTCAAAATCAGGCTGAAATTCACAACGTGTGAAGAATTGAAAAATTTAAAAAATTCAACAAAAGTCCCACGAAATTTAGTTTTTATCCACCCATAAAACAAAAAATATCTACTTATTTACAATAATTCTTATTTTTAACTTTTAATTTAATTTTATTTATTATACACCGTTACACACGATTTACTCACACTTCTAACTTTAATATTATTATTATTATTTTTCTACTTGGTATTATTATTATTTATTTTACTTTATTAGAGGCGCAAACTAGCTGCTGTGGTCTCTGGCAGAATGACCAGCGCTGTGGAACTTTTTGCTCCTCAGCATAATGCTGAGCCAGGGCCAATTACAACCACAGTACACACACATTGCACACTGGAAGCGAACCGAATGGCAAAAGATAATTTTTTATTTTTTATTTTTATTGTTTTTGATGTCTTATTTTATTTTATTTCTTTAAGTATTGTTATTTTGTGTGTTTATGTGTGTGTGTTTTAGTTTGTAATAAATGTTATGTCTATGTCTAATTGAATACTGATCCCGAGAAAAAAGCTTGCCTCAATTGCAATAATCCACGAGAGCTTGCAGCACTGATTTGTGGAGTTGGTAGAGCGACCGTTATCGATATGTATTTCTACAATCTTACGCACATCACTACACCTCTCTATAAGATCTGTAAGTGCGAGCGAGACCGACAGATAAATATTCTTTAAGACCCGAAGCTTTAGTTCATAATGCGTCGACTATAAATATTTAGTACCTGTGTCCTTTAAAATTTTAATCAACTATTTTCACAGACTTAAAATGAGAAATAAAGCATAAAACCCGTCAAAAAAATAATGCAAGACACCTAGGTATTTGACTCAGCATTACATGTACATGGGTGATTGAGATACCCAATTCACACACATATGCTTCTTTCATTGGTGGTCGTAAACTTATTTATAAAATTCGGATGCTTGTTTAAAGGTACACGAGGGCAGTAATTGCTCAGCGACACGAATGCACCGATCTGGAGCAATTAATGGAGCAATTTCAATAAATTTCAATAAATTTTTTCGGCGATATTGCTTCTAATTGCTCCAGATATTTCATATCGCTCTATGTCGCAGATACGAATTGACGATTATCCAATGGACTTGAAAATTCGTAGCGATTTTTGTATATATTATCTCATTCGCACTTGCCGTCTTGCTTCCGCGGGGAGAGCGAGAGGTCTAAATAATAATAATTTCTAATTACTTTATTCAAAAGTAATTCAAAGTCGGTTCGTGACATTCTAGTAAAGTTTTTGAATAATATATCATCTAATTCTTTACACAATGAAAATTGCGGCCTCTTTGCCAAAAACGATCGCACCCAGATACGTCTATTCCTTTTCTTTCTTTTTTGTTTTTGATTAATAATAAAAAAAGCGCTACAAGCCGCTGCAGCAAGAACAATGTCGTCCATAGCGAGCGAATAATTAAATGCTCGTGTAGGACAGTATTGCCCAGTTGATGAAGTTGCGCCGTATCGCTCAATATTGTATTGCGCAGTATTGATGCTTGTTGCCGTTGCCGTAAATTGCTTGATGTAGTCGTGACGTCATAGTTGACGAGTATTGAATTTGGGAATCTGGAATTGAGCAATTAAAGTTGCCCGTGTATGCGCACCTTTAGTCTTTAGAATGCCATCAAATTGTCGATGTGTCGTAAATATAATTATATATATGTATAATTAATTAGATAATTTATATTTATTGACGAAAAAGTAAACACAGGGCCATACTATTCCGGTAAAAAACTAAGCTACGTAAATCAAAACACGACAAACATTGATTTATCTTCTTTTTACGCATAATGATGGCTTTGTTAAAAAGGGTCAACACATTCCTTCTTTTGATATTGCAAAATAGCGCATTTTTATTCTAAGCCATTGATTTTTGGTTTCAGCTGTCATTTCGTCTTTTGATAATTTAAAACTGTAAGTTGTAACTGACATTTGGATATTTATTTGGTTTAACGGCAGATACGCGCGAATGCCGATAATTGTTTAATATTAATAAATATTGTAGAAAAAATATTAAGATCGTTTGTTTCTAATAATAAAATGTATATTAAGTCCATTGTTCTTGACGGTTTTAAATCGTATGGCAATAGAGTTGAAGTCACCGGTTTCGATCCAGAATTCAATGCGATTACAGGCTTGAATGGCACTGGAAAATCTAATATCCTAGATTCAATATGTTTTGTGCTTGGTATTACCAACCTTTCAAATGTAAGTTTAAAAACAGTCCACTAATGTGTATGTACTTTAACTAAAATATCCTTTATATATCTTGTGTAGTCCACCTGTTGTTTATAAATTGATATGCAAAGCCAGAATGCATACAGAAGGATATTAAACATGAATGAAACTACTACTCTAAACTTGCTTTGGTAGGTGCGTGCGGGAAGTCTTCAAGAATTGATATACAAACATGGACAGGCTGGTATCACAAAGGCCACAGTGAGCATCACATTTGACAACAAAAATAAGCAGCAAAGTCCAATTGGTTATGAGAATCATGATGAAATTACAGTTACCAGACAGGTTTGTTATAACCTCTCCATAACCAATAGTTTTAATTGTAGAAAATACTCTTAAGATTTGTGTATTTTACCTTCCAATTCATACTTTACAGGTTGTAATGGGTGGCAAAAACAAGTATTTAATAAATGGGATTAATGTTCAGAACAAGAGAGTAACAGATCTTTTTTGCTCAGTACAGCTAAATGTCAACAATCCACACTTTCTTATAATGCAAGGAAGAATCACTAAAGTTTTGAACATGAAACCACCTGAGGTATGTGTGAATATAATTACTTAGGTCTTCCATGGTATCGCTTATCACCAAGTGAGTCTCTTAACCATTTCCTCCATCTCCTACTAAAAAAAAACAGTTTTGCTTACAGTTATTGACCTATTTACTATTTTTTTATCAGGTTAATTGGCAATAATTTACATGATTAAAAAATTAAGTTTAAAGGAGTTATATTATACATCAATATAAATCTTGTTTAAATGTTATTTTTAATAAAAGTTAGCAATTATTCATATATATTTTAAGAATATAAAATTTAAAGATTTTATCAATGGTGGAAGAAGCAGCGGGAACAAGAATGTATGAGACTAAAAAGCAAGGAGCTCAGAAAACTATTGAAAAGAAAGATGCAAAACTGAGGGAGCTAAATGATGTATGTATCTGTTTTTGTTTGGTACTACTAAATATATATATTCTAACAGTATTTTGTAGTGTTAGGTATAGTATTTTATTATTATCCAATTTAAAATAGTAAAATTTAAGGATTCTTTTTGTATATCTATTTGTATGGAAAATTTATGCAAGCCTAGTAGTTGTTAACTATTAAAGAAAACATATGATACATTTTATATTATTTTAAAGAAACGGATATTATTAAAGTTAAAAAATTAAAAAAAAACGAAAAATTCTTTGCATGTTTTTTTTATCTTTGGAACACATTTTTTTACAGATAATTCGTGAGGACATAGCACCAAAGTTGCAAAAGCTACAAGATGAAAGATCCCAGTTTCAAGAGTATCAAAAGGTTGTGCGAGAACTTGAAAATTTGACACGTCTACATGTTGCCTGGCAGTTAGTGTCTCTTTTTTTACCTTTCTATTTAAGCGAAATAAAGTATTTTCAGAATACTAATCCTATTATCTAACAATATGAGGGAAATACAATATGAAATCATATACTATTATTTGTTTTGCATTAGATTAAAAAAAAGTCAAATATAATATTTAAATTTTAAATAAAATAATTGTAGCCAACTCTGCATGATCTTATTATAAGAAATAATTTAATAGTATAACAGTATAATTATAGGCAATGGAAATCACAAATGTAAAAACAATACATGGAACAATTCAAGACCACAATACAAGAATATGTTCAGTTTTTCTCTTAATATATTATTGATTATGAAATTTCAAATGCTAGGTATGTAACAGCTGAAGAGAATGTGGTGGAAGCCAACAATAAAGTGACTGAAGTAAAGAATGAGATACAGCAAAAGCAAGAAAGCATTGAGAGTAATATTGCACGAGCCACGGAGGTTGACCAAGAAGTGGCTAAGCTTAACCAGAAACTTGATGAGGTAGGAAAATTGTTTAATTAATTAAACAATTCATAGTCCCCTTTTTTGTTACAAATTATAGATCTATATTAACTGAATGATCTTTCTGTGACGTAGAACTTTTTAACAACTGTAATATATATTGAAAAAAATTATAACTAATTATTATAATTAAAATTTTCCCCCTTTGTATGTTGGTAGATTTGAATAATTATACGGGTTAAATATGTCCTTCATACCAAACTAATATGAGCTAATAAAGGCATTAAATAATACATTATTGTTCACTTTCATATAATAAGTATCAAAATGAGGTTTAGAAATTGGTTTTCAGTTAAGTTGATCTTTCTATGTGCATGTTTATTGAGATCTTTGCTAGCAATAGCTCCATATTTTAAGAGGGTGAAAAATATTTAACTTTGTTAATATTGCGTGACCCAATCAAGCGGGTTAGGGAGTGTTCAAGTATTACGTAACGAATTTTTTTTCCTCTTGTATAACGTTACGATGCGGGGCGGGGATTAAATAACGCGTTATTGTTAATATTATTTTCGACTTTCCAGTACTTTACACCACATAATGGAACATTTAGGGTATAAAGAGTCACTAGGTGGTCACGAAACGTTTTACTATTAGGTACAGAAAAACGTTACGTTACGGCGCGTTAGGGAGCGTTCAAGTATTACGTAACGAATTTGGGGAGGGGGGGGTCCTTTTGTAAAACGTTACGATGCGGGGCGGTGATTGAATTACGCGCTATTGTTAATATTATTTTCGACTTTCCAGAACTATACGTCACACAAACGTTTGTTGTTTCCCGAAACATTTACTGTACTTGGGTACAGAAAACCGTTACGGCACGTTATATGGGGGGTCAATAATCTCCAAAAATTGCGTGAACGTAATACTTGAACGCTCCCTTACATTGCGTGACGTAACAATACTTGAACGCTCCCTTAGAATACTAACTAATACGAAACAATTATTTTTTCGATGACAATCAAATCATATAGGATTATCCGCCACATATTATGCTGACTCTATTGATAGTATGTTTTTACACTTCAATTTGATTTTTTTTTGTCAAAATGTTTGTAGGAAAGTGGCAGTGTACTAAAAGATCTCGAGACGGAATTGCAAACTGCAGAGAAGTCAGATGCAAGTATGGCGGCTGCACACCGCGCTGCGAAGGAAGCCGTCACAGCCAGCGAAGCTAAGGCGAAGTTGTTGCGTCGCGCGTTAGCCGATGATAAAACTGCACTCGCTGATAAAAGGGCGGTCCTTACTCAGGTATAGTGTTTATTAAACTAGTGTTGTTACTAATGACTCTTGTGTATTTGGTTTCGAAAAAATACACTTAAACGGATTTAAATATGTTTTTTAAAGTATTAGGGTATTCAGGCCCGTTTTCCAGAACACTAATCTCAACATAGGCTGAGCCGTAGGCTCGTTTGCCCCCTTATCGTAAAAAAAATATAGTTGCCTTTGGACTAATATGTTACAAGAGTGTTTATTTTTTATGAAACAGTTTTTAATTTAAAAAAAATATTTCTATAACCAAAAATACATGCAAAGAAGTTACATATTCTTCCCTCCCACTAAGCAAAAAGTCTGCTGAAATAGCAGATCCCACTCAATCCAGTTTGACAGCAACACTCCTTATTTAAAACACGCTTTGAAAAATACTTTTTTTAACGGATTTGAAGTTATGTTTTATTATGAATTATTTTACATAATTTTAAATGTAACCGACGTTTCTTATAATACGTAAATTTATAATAAAACAACTTCAAATCCGTTAATAAAGTGTTTTTCTATGTCTAAAAGTTATGTCAATAAAATACAATACTAAAAACGCTTTTTTAATAACCCTCAGCCAACAGGTTGCAATAATTACTACTTACATAAACCGAATATCCAAAATCTGAATTTGATTAGTCGTAGTGACGGGTCGTCCTTGAGTTCGTGTGTGTGTGTGTGTGAATATTATTAACAATTTGTACCACTATACACCGTTTTTACCTCCACATGGTACCAATGGTTTGATGTTAAGTTCCTTACAATTTCTCCCCCCGCTTTTAGCCATTCTACGCCCTTGATTTGGAAAGTGGCAGCGTAAAATTCAGACTTATATGAATAAATAAATTTTGAATGTAATTGTAGGCTTCTTCGACGTTCGAGAATCTCCGCAGTGCGAGCGAAGCTCAAACTCAGGCTCTGGCCGAAGCACAAGCTCAATTCCTCGCGGTCAGTACGGGACAGGAAGATGCGGGGGAATCTTTGCAGAACCAGCTCATGGGTATATATTAAAAAAAATACATTCGTATTACTTTGAAGCTCCTGTGTTCACATTTATAGCATACAAATCCAGGACGGATATGATTTCTGTCTGACGAACTTATCTGTCTTATAAAAATCAATGATGCCAATCAAGTTCTATCACTCCTTCACCGTGCAAAGTATCCTGCTATGGAATTCCTTACCTATTCATATCAGACGAGCTCAGTCATTAAATTTATTTAAAAATCTCCTTTTTCATCATCATCATTTGTATTCTCTTGTATTATATTCTCATGCAAATCTTATCTTTAAAATCATTTGCAGTTACAATATAAACAGCGATTACACAAACTCCTGATTTTTTTTTTATATACTAAAAAAGTATTTACTAAGTATGTAAGTCATAAAACTCAAAATTAGATTACTAAGCCATCTCGCCCAGGAATTCCAGCATTGCTGAATTCAGTGATGGAATGTTCTATGTTTTTTTTCTCAGCCGCAAAACAGCAAGCATCTGAGGCGTCCACCAGAATATCTCAGAGCATGATGGAGAAGAAGCACGCTGAAGAGCGGCTGAAGGGTTTGGAACGTGAGTTCAGCTCAAGTAGCTCTCAACACCGACGTGACTTGGAAACGATTGCTGAACAACAAGCTGTTGTCGACCGGCTGCAGGTATTTGCCATACAGAAACTGTTATACTCATAAATAATGATATATTAATTACGAGCCGCTCTTGGAAAATCCCTACAAAATTATTTTAATTATTATTTAATTAAACAATACAACTACTGTTTAAGAGTCTTCATATCGATGTGAAGATAGACAAAGACCAGGGACGGTTGAATGGAATGATTCAATTACTAAAACTTATAAAATGGGATTAAAATGTGTAACATAATATACTAAAAATAAATGTTTATCAAAATGCATGAGCTATATACCTAGAGCTAGACTATATAGTCTGTATAGTTTCTGGTGGTTTTTTGTATTAAGGAATTAATAGTCTATAAAAATAGTAGTCTCATTCTGAATGCTTACAGGAGTTCTCTAGAGTGGGTTTTAGTCTGAACAATTTGTTGCAACTATTTCATTTAAAAATGTAGATTCTTAATTAATATTTATGGATTACCTCAGCAAGTGTATTTAATTAGAGTCTGTGCGGAAAGAGAACCGGTGTGACAGCTATGCTAACTAATATACCTTTGTATTTCCTACGCGTCATTTCATTTATTTACAAAAATTATATACGTTATTTTCGTTGATATAAGTATCAAGATTATCTTTTTTACTATACAGAGTCAGCTATCTGGGATGAGTTTTAGTGAGTCTCGATGCACCGAGACTAAGGAACGTTTACGCACTCTACAAAGGTCTACGCGTGGTGCACGCGATCGCGCCGATGACTTGGCCGCGAGGCTACAGCGCTGCAACTTCCGCTATACACCGCCACAACCGAACTTCGACCCTAATAGAGTTGCTGGTATGTAATAATATTAAAATAGGTTAAAAAAAACTAGTAGCGCTACAGCTTTTAGCTTCAGATTTGTGTATCTACTTCGTAGTCATTTCTCATAGTTATGTTAAAGGTGTAAGTAGGTGATCAGTCCGTGCCGGATACAGGCCATCGTACGTCAAACAAACAAACAAACAAAAATCATTTATTCATGTAGGTAACACAATGTACACTTATGAACGTCAAAAAGAAAGAAATATACTTTTATGCTTCTAATATTACATTTACTGCCAGTTCTCTCAAATCAAGGGCGTAGAACGGAAGAGAAGAACTGGCAATAAACATTCCGCCGACGTTTTAATCGCCAAGTTTTTGTTTTACACAACGTTTGTAAGGAGCTGCAACCATTACACCATGTTCCACACGACATCTTAAGTAATAAATAATAATAAAATAAATTTAAAACAAAGATTTGTCCTCTATCAGCAGGAGGCACGGTGAAATAGGAGCACGCACTTACATTCTCGTGGTACGTGCGAGTGTTAAATGCGCACATAGACAGAAAGTTGGTCCATTAGTACAGCACAATTATCATAAGGATTCTTATTAACCTAAGTTACATTTCAGGCACGGTCTGCAGACTGATCGACGTCGTGCATGACAAATACTGTACTGCACTTGAGACTGCGGCTGGTGGAAGAGTGAGTTGTCTGAACATTCTTTATAATATATTTTATTCAAACTATTAATTATTATTTTTATTAATTCATGATTTGTATTAGTTTCTGGTGTTTTGGATTGATGATTGACTTTATTGAGATAAAATTTTAATTGTCGAGTAGTAATATTTAATGTTTTTATACACATCGCCCCAACCACACTTTTTACTCTTACAACAGGGGCAAACGGGCAGAAGGCTCATGTGATGTTAAGTGATACCGCCTGGCGCCCATGGACACTCCCACTGCCAGAAGGATCGCAAGCATCTTAAAAACGCTCAACACTACTTTATTTAATCTCTTCATTTAAAAAATTATTTAAGTGTTCAGCTGAAAATGTGTTGGCTTTCTTCCTTTAGATCCTTGTGATTTACGTACGTATCAGAAATGATACAAGTTTTGGATATTTGGTAATATCAATTTCGTTGTAAATACTCAGTGTACTTTAATCTTAGAATATTTAGACCAAAAGGACGAACACTTAAAGTTATCTGATAACTCTTGAAAGTTGGCTAATAAAACGTTTTCGGTAAATGAGATAGCCTTTGTGTTCATTTTCCAAGTCATACTCTTGGTAACATTTGTCGTACGCTTTTCTTGATTTTTCTGGCAAAAGACTATTCGTCGAGTTAAATTTTCATAGGTATCGTTGGTGTTGCTTGACATTTTTGCTACTAAAGTTTTATCCAACAAAATATTACTCAAATTCGTATGTACAAAATAGCGCCAATGGAAAAAGTCTGTTATTGGTCTATTGGCTCGGAACCTTGCGTGCGCAGCGGTCACCATAGATTATATGTACTTAAATTGAATTGAAACCTCCTTGGTCGGGACACATTGTACTTTAATAATTAAAAAAATATTTTAAAGCATTGTTTCGTTAGGAGTATAATGCTTTAATTTAATTTTCTTAAAGAAGTATGTAAAAAATATGCCAATAAAAGTCTGTATTTCATTTCATAATTAGAATATTACCGAATGAGATTATATAAATGGTTTTTGTTAATTACTAAAAAAGTGCTTTTTGACAGTTGTACAACGTAGTGGTTGACACGGAGGTGACAAGTAAGCTACTACTGCAGCGTGGCCAACTACAAACGCGTACTACCATCATTCCACTTAACAAGATCTCCCCTGCACGTCTTCCGGCTGAGACGGTGCGAATTGCTCAGGAAATAGTAAGTTCATTCTCTTACAGTCTCGAATAAAAACCAAGAATTTTTGAAATAAGCGTTAGGAAATATCTAGGGTCAATACACATTGATAGTAGTTCATAATAAGAATGATAACTTAAATCTATAACTAATGTCAACTTTCAAAATTTTGGTGATGCTCATGAAATGGCTAATGAAAGAAGATAATTGAATTATTTCAAAACTTTCGGATGGCAACACAGAATGTCCTTGCATTTCTTAGGTTAGTATGATTTATTGTCTTGATACTTCATGCAATTACTCATTTTTATTTCTATTATATATTTTTTACGAATAGTTAACCTAAACTTTGTTTTATTGATTTTTGGATTATGATTTTGATTATTCCGAATAAAGTTGTGTTTTATAACAAATATATAGTTTTCCATGCAATGCTAGTTTTATTTTAAGTATCAATAGTAAAAGACTAAATACGTATAGTATTTAATTTCATAGATAAACAGTTACTATCAATGTTAAAAATAATAAAATAAAATCAAGTATCAAGTAAGTTTAATCCACAAAATATATCAAACTTTTAGGGATACCATACTAATTTTTTTTGAATTTGCCGTGCTTTTTCGTTATCTTCTTTCATTAGCCAGACTTTATAAGGTTTATTTTAATATTTTCTGTAATAAAGAAGGTTTTAAGAAAACAATATATTTAATATGCGTTTTTTCCTAAATTTAGGTACTCTAATAAATGAATGAACATGAATGTACTGTCAAGTGTAATTTTAAGTTTCATCAAAATCGGTTCAGTCGTTTTTAAGATACGTGGTTTGTAAGATTCACGCATTTCTGGGTATAGGTATAGTCCATGTAAGTAATGTTTACTGAGGTGTGCTAAATTTTTTAAAATTAATGTTATATTCATAATTCAGGGTGGAGGGGCAGACAAGGTACAATTGGCCCTGGATCTTGTAAAGTTCCCTGAGCGAGTCCGAGCAGCGATGCAATGGGTGTTCGGTGGGACACTAGTATGCGCTGACCTTGAAACAGCCAAGCGCGTAACGTTCCACCCGCGAGTGCGTACGCGCTGTGTGACGCTCGACGGTGACGTGTTCGACCCGGCTGGAACACTTTCTGGTGGCGCGAGAGCTAAGGTAAAATCTAAGTATTTAATTTTAATGTTAGTAATTTAACTCAAATTAATTTGAAGTGAAATTATTGTCAGCGATACTAAAATGTAGTATTCAAATTAATTGTTTGTGTTTTGTATTATGATTTAAAAATCAGACAGCTATCAGAAAAGGTAATCTACATTAGGGAGCGTTCAAGTATTACCTTACGCAATTATTGACTCCTCCCCCCCATGTAACGCGCCAGAACGTTTTTCTGTATCCAATAGTAAAACGTTTCTTGACCACCCAGTGACTCTTTATACCTAAAAGTTACCATTATGCGGTGTAAAGTACTGGAAAGTCGAAAATAATATTAACAATAACGCGTAATTCAATCCCCGCATCGTAACGTTTTACAGAAGTTTTACCCCCCAAAATTCGTTACGTAATACTTGAACGCTCCCTTACTCTCATAATCATATCAGAAAACCTCAACAAAAAAACTTTCGTCTCATTCTGTCAAATTATGTTTATGTTGTGATGAAAAGAGACGGATGAGTACTTACGTTAAAACGGGCTAATTACACTATTTTGAATAAGTAGGATAATTATGTAGGATCCAGTTCGAGATGTTTATAAATAGTTACACGATCGCTTTGTTCAAAAACTTTTGCGACTAATAGTTTAAAATTCGTTTCCCGAGGTCGTGCGTTCTAATTACGACTGTGTACCAATGGATTTCTCTCTATTTGGAAATATTTGCTCCAAATGGCATGTCTTACGTTCGTATTAAGATTATAAGTCAAGAATTCACGCTCAGTATGACTCCCGAATGTCTAAATATGTTTTGACGTACTGGAGTCTTAGGTCTTGTTTCGATTCGTTATCTGTGGGACCCAACAAGCGAAGGCCCAGCTACCGGCTATTAAGTAATAATAATGAAATCAAAGCAAGCGTTGGTGGTTTTTTCAGGGTGGTTCAGTTCTGGTGATGCTAAGCGAGTTAAAGCAACTGGAGCAGCAGTTGCAGCAGTTAGAATCTGAGCAGACGCAATGCAGCGATAACCTCGCTGGCATGCAGGCAGCAGCTGACAAATATGCGGCGCTGCAGCAAAAGTTAGTTTAAATAGTCTATTGGAGATGACATTACAGATGTATGTGTATGTATGTACGGTGCCGGCGATTTAGCTGCGCCCACGCCGCCCCCTAGTGTGTTTTCGTCGCGAGGTAAAGACACTCACACACACTCACATTTTGAACGGACATCGGCACTTCTGTATTTAAAATACAATTTGTATCTACTAAAGTTGGTTTTAGTGAAATTTTCTTTACAGATTCCTTATTTAAATTTAAAATAAATTATTGTATAATTAAATAACTTTGCGGTTTTATAAGGTAATGTATGCGGTAAGTTTATTTTTTAAATGTATAATACTCTTAAAGGGAATACATATTATATTCCAACGCAGTATCTTTGTAGGAAAATTTCTGTAACCTGTGTTTTAGTACAAGTATGTAATAAAATGTCTTCAGTATATTACATTTTACATTAATTATTTATTTATTTCGTAATCCTACAGCTAACATAAATTATATAAAACAAAAAATAATTATACAAATTTTCTAAAGGTTGGAGATGTCCCGACACTCGTTAGAAGTTGCGAAGTCTCGTGTAGCGGCCACTGCGCACGCGCAACTTCACGACGAGATCGAGTCATTACGAGAACAGGTATATTAACATACTATATGAGAGCATTTAGAAGCTGTGATAACTGAGTACCTTATGTATGCTAATCACATTCCTCGTAGGTCCCATACCCGGATGTCCAACACCACTTACTCTAGCGTGAAGGTGAAATCATTGTGAGGAAACCGGATTGTTCAAATCCAAAAATCGATGACATGTCTGACAGAAGGCTGATCACCTTAACTCAAATTTTGCACTCCGTAGTATTCTGACATTTCATAAGTGTTGCTACTAAAATAGTTCTTCACCGAAAAAGGGACAAATTTGACCCATTTGTAAATCTAAATATTTACTTACTCAACTGACCTAATAGAAAAATAACAAATATTTAAATATCACGAACAACATATCGACTTAACTTTAATTTCTTTATTTTATTCTTGAGCTGGCATCATAACTAATTCCAGGTTTAGTAAACCTTTAAAAAAATGTTATCTTTACTTATGCGTTTAATTACTGTTTGTGATGAAAGGGCACGTAAATATCAGTCACCGTAAAACCATAAATGTTTTAATGGAGCACCGCACTTAATAAAATGGATACATTCACTAACAAATAAAATTAAAACCCGGCTACAAAGGTTTGTAATCTCTGACATGTCAAAAAATGATAGTTGTCAGAATTCTACGGAATTAAAAATCAGAGTATAGTTGTCTATGAAATAAAGATGATCAAAAATAGATGCAATCTAAGGCCCCAGACCCATCTAGGGTTGTAGCACCACTGAATTAGAATTTTTTACTATATTATTAGTGTATTTATCATTCTTCTTTGCTAATATGGTGAAATTTAAAAAAAATTTAGTAAAACTCATTTGATGTTTTGGGGATTTTTAATTGAATGTTGAACGCAGCCCTTTAGTCTATGAATGTATAAAAGTTCTTATTTATTAAATGTGTCTCTAAAGGTGAAAGAGCTGAGTGCAGCGTTAGAGCGAGACAAGAAAGAACAGAATGAAGCCGCCGCCCAAGCAAAGGAACTTGAGGCTAAAGTCAAAGACATTAAGGGCCATAGAGAAAGGTATACCAAAACCATATGCTAAGATTGACGATAGTATTCAATAGTATATGTATAAGTCGACTTGAAACTTTTCAGCTTAAAACTGCATATTTTTAGTTCACGAAAAAATTATTTATGATCTATATATTTTTATTTAAAGATCAAATAGCATATCTGGCGTATTAATTTTTTTAAAGTTTTGGGTTTATTAAAAGAGATTCTTAATTCATTCGGTTATGTGTAAAGATTGGATATCATTAGAAAAATTGTTTTTTCTATTTTATATTTTATATTCTTGCTCGGGTACCGATTCGTGCCATTTTGATATACTTATACAACTTCAGTGAGAATTAACAAATTTTTCAGAGAGTATAAGAAAGCAGAACAGGCTTTGAAGAAGGCAAAACAGGAAGCAGAGCGTCACAATAGTTTATGGAAGCAGCGGGAACAGGAGTTCGAGACTTTGCGTCTAGAAATCCAAGAGTTGGAAAATGCCGTGAATACTGCTGAGGCGCAGCTGCAGGAAACCACAGACAATACTGCAGACCTCGCACAGGCATTTGAACAAGCCCAGAGCGATCACACCGCAGCCTCTGTAAGTAACCAATATCGATTATTTTTATAAAATTTTATTTAAATGTGTAATAATTGTCTTATTGACAATAAAAAAATGTCAGTATCATATTTTTAGTCTGTGAGAAAATTGATTGTCAAAAACTGGTTAAATTCATTTCAATGAGTATTTTGAATGAGTTTTGGTCCAATTAGTAACAAACTTACAAACTCGTTTAAAATAATTATGTACGCGATGGGCAGTTTCATTACAATGATGTGAAACGGCGCTGACACTAAGGTTTATATTCTAGAATGTCAATCAAACTTAAGTCTAGTTTCAATAGCTGTCAAACTGTATGAAATTTGACATTGATGAGATTGTGACTTGCGATAGACATTAGATGGACCGAACTGACCGAACTTACTGCAGCACGTATTAGGAAAACAATATTTAAAGCTAAACAGCCTTAAATATTTTGATGAATAAATGATTTTAAGTAATTATTAATTAAGTCACCGATAAGGAAATACCTAACAAAAACCTGTGCAAATAAAAATATCCCCCCCCCCCCCCCCCCCCCCCCACCACCCCCCCCCCCCCCCCCCCCCCCCCCAACCCCCCCCCCCCCCCCCCCCCTTACCCCCTTTAAAAAAAAAAAAAAAAAAAATTTTTCCCCCCCAACCCCCAAAAAACCCCAAAAAAAAAAAAAAAAAAAACCGCGGCGCCCCCCCCCCCCCCCCCCCCCGAACCCCCCCCCCCCCCCCAAAAAAAAAAAAAAAAAAAAAGGGGAAAAAGAGAAAGAGGAAAAAAAAAAAAAAAAAAAAAAAAAAAAAAACGAAGGGCCCCCCGCAAACCCCCAAAAAGAAAAAAAAGCCCCCCCCCCCCCCCCAAAACCCCCCCCCCCCAAACAACCCCCCCCCCCCCCCCCCAACCCAACCCCACACCCCCCCCCAAAAAACCCAAACCCCAAACACCCCCCCCCCCCCCCCCCCCCCCCCCCCCCCCCCCCCCCCCCCCCCCCCCCAAAAACACCCACCCCAAAAACACACACCCCCCAAAAACCCCCCCCCCACCCCCCCCCCCCCCCCCCCCCCCACACCCCCCCCCCCCCCCCCCCCCACCCCCCCCCCCCCCCCCCCCACTTCCAAAATTCACAAAAAAAGGGTGCGTGTACTTATGTACGCGCGTAAGAAGTTATACTTCTTTGGCATTATTAAAAATAGTTTTTGATTGCATGCAAATAATTAATTACAATTAAATAATCAAAGACTGGAAAAGGAGTCATTAAAGTCAATAAAGTTCAGTTTATATTTGAAAAATTAATTAAATAAATATTTATTATTATTCTCTTACATTAAACAAATAAAACACTATTTATCTTTAAAACATTTTTATTTCATTATACTATTTATTTTTAAGTGACTCTAATGTCTTCATCAGAATTTCGGTTTGTAATTTTAAATTAATCATTACTTGGTTGTGCATCTACGAGGCTTCTCCAAAACTACTTGCTTTCTGCAACAAATAAGAGAATATTAATTTAAGCTCTGTCCATGCAAAACTTAAAATTTTTTATAATTCATATTATAAATTTTTTAACACATTTATATTAATATAATTATATAAATGTGTTAATAATATAATTTGTAGCACATGCTACAGACCTGGATAGCAACTTTCTTTTATTCTATTTAGAGATAGAGATAATTTAAATATAATACCGGTGTCTTCCTTGTAGGTTTCTTTGGAGTTGTTTGGGGATTCTTGTTGTTCAGTTCGACATGATTTTCTTTAACCTTTCTTTAATCCTACAAAATAATGAAATTGTTAAGTTATGTTGTCACTGTTGTGCACACCTTTGTTTGGCTTTTTTAGTATTCAAGTTATGTCAAAACTGATTTATTACCTTGTCATTGTTGGCTTTATTTGCTTTTGGGATATCAATTGTTTCCAAAATGATTTTATTTGTAATAACCTGAAATATATATTAATTTATCATGGTGAGTGGTTCGCACTCAGGTATTAAGGTGTATTATACCCACTGTCCATTATAAGTGGGAATGGGCTCACTTCTGGCAGGACAGAGTTTCGGTACTACAAGTGCAACATGGATGTTTTGAGGTATTACAATATCTCTAACTACCCTGTAGGGGAATAAAGTAATGTTGTAAGCATATGCCTATGCTTGAAAGGTTGAACCTTGAACATCACCATACATCATATTTATAATTAACATTCCTACCTCGACACCATCACAATCAAATTCATTGAAATCTACTTCAAACCATTGTGTCTCGAGAAGGTGATGGTGGCTTTGTTCCACCTCCAGTTTTTGATGTTTCACGGCGATAAGATGACAACTCTTTTTTTGTATTCAATTTAGTGCACTTCCACTGATTCATCAATTGTTTTTTGTCTCTTGTCCTTATATTTGCTAGATTAAATCTGATGTTTTGATTAAATAATGTGGTCATTTTTTTGAGATGCAGGTACTTATTAAAATGTTTACTTCTCTGTTATATCGCTCCAAGCCTTCATTTTCTCCTTATTAGTATTCGTGCTTAAATCTTTGTTCTCAATTATTGATATATAGGGTCGTAGAATATTTCTAAAAAGTTGCTGTAACAAACGCAATAAACAAAAGCAATGAATAATGGTTCATGTTTCAGTTTTAATCAACAATAATACTCGATAATACATACGGATAGTTAACCTCAATTGTATTGAAGCACTCAGGAAGGTTAGCACAGTTTTTTCACAAATATTTTATATTATTTCACAAATATTTTGTATAATGAAAATAACTAGGTATATAATTATTAATTTTAAACAATAATTAAAACTCCTATATTTGTTTAAAAGGTAAATGTCATTGTCAGATGTCAATTGTCATGGTCATTCAAAATTCTTGTTAAGCTGCTAAGCTAGAATATGCGTGAAGTTAGCTTCACGCATATTCTATTTCTTTTTACTTGTAGTTTGTCTTATTCCCATCTCGCTCGCGCACGCTATATCACACTGCCAATTTTGTGTCATAGGTGCGCGCGCAATCGTAAAATTTCACTCTCATCAATTTTTCATAACGCGCCTAAAGAAGTACAACTTCAAAAAATATGGACAGCAGCGTTTCGTCACTCGCAGAACAGTATTGCAACACTGCTATTGTCAACAATAATGCTTTGCTACCTAATTCATTTAGACTTTGTATGTAAAATATAATTAATAATTTTGTTTCCAGGAAACTGTTAAGGAACTTCAAGGGAGAATAAAGAAACAAAAAGCGACGATAGCTAGCCGCAGCTCGGAAGTGGCAAAACTCGTTCAGAAAAAGGAAAAAATTTTGAAGGGAAATAGTGAGATTGAGCTCAAGATTAAGGAGTTGGAATATAGTATTAAAGAGTTGGAAACGGAAGCTTCCAATTGTGAAAAAAGGGTAGGTCCAAATTGCATAAAAGATACACTTCACGGATATTATAAGTCACAAAGACTGCAATATACAGTAACAATTAACTTCATTGATAAACAATTAGACAAAAATTATAAACGGACCCTTCATATAACAGGCCATATTAACACTATTATTGCAAAAAGTTACACATTAAATTTAAAATCACAAATTGATTAGAATCCTTATACAAAGAAACTCATTTACAAGTCAGTGTTAATACATAGTTACTATTTATGAATAATTTCCAATAAGGATTTCATATTTCCCATTATCATCAAATTAAAAAAAATACTATAGGTCGGAAGTCTTCAGTAGTCTATCTGTTTCGTGATCTTTAGGCAAGTAGGTGATCAGCCTTTTGTGACACACGCCGTAAACTTTTTGGGTCTAAGGCTTCGTCACGATGTTTTCTTTCACCGTACGTAGATCAAAAGAAAATAGGTGCACAGCCAGGAGAGTGAACCCACTAGACCAACACTGCTCTTATTTTTTTTTTGTAGGCGTAAGAAGTTATACTTCTTTGGCATTATTAAAAAATAGTTTTTGATTGCATGCAAATAATTAATTACAATAAATAATCAAAGACTGGAAAAGGAGTCATTATAGTCAATAAAGTTCAGTTTACATTTGAAAAATTAAATAAATAAATATTTATTATTATTCTCTTAGGGGCGGGCGTCCATAAATTACGTGAGGTGTTTAAGGGGGAGGGGGTCGAGTCAAATCTCATTAAATCTTACGTTGGAGAGAGGGGGGGTCTTGGCAAATATCACGCAATTTTTTTTCTGATTGAAAAAAAAACTACGAAGACGGTTGACCCTAAAGGCCATCTCTGCAACTTCCCGCTAACTCCATACCTAAACGCTCAACATTTCACTTATTTTGTTTTAGTCGAAAATAAAAGCACGAAGCAATTTTATTGAATAAATCAACGTTTACTAAGAAACCAATTTGAAAAATTACTGAGATTGGGGATGGGAGAGGGGTTGAATAAAATTCAATCTCACAGGGGAGGGAGTTACAGAAAATTTAAAAAAAACCTAGTAATTTATGGAGCCCCCTTACAATAAGTGTAACATAAATTCTATTATTATTCGAATGTTGTTTTTAAATTATGTCCAATGCCGTAGCATCTTCCGTGGGCAACTTCATTCTGTTAATTTTGTGTCACGGTGCGCGCGCATCGTAAAATTTCACTCTCATCAATTTTTCATAACGCGCCTAAAGAAGTATAACTTCAAAAACTGTACATTCATTCCAGATAAAATCCTTAGAAAAGGAACACACATGGATCCCATCTGAGCGTCAGTACTTTGGCCTGGCGGGGGGCGTGTACGATTGGGGTGGACGGGCGCCTGCAGAAACGGCCGCGTGTCTTACGCAACTACGAGAACGGAAGGACAGACTCGCACGAGGACTCAATACACGGGCGCATACGTTGCTCGGTTCTGAGGAACAGCAGGTAATCACGGCAGAAAAATCCAAAAAGCAGAGGGGTTGAGTAATAATCAGAGATGCAAGGCGATAATAAAAATGATTATAAAAACTGGTGTAGAAAACTTATTCTTTTACTTAGTCCGGAAGTTGACTTCTGATAATAATAAATTGGGGCGATACAATCATATATTCCTTTTTTTCTAAACTTTCGTAAACAAGAATTGTTTGGAAGTTAAATTCTTTGTCTGTAATTTGAATTAGCTATATTAATGAAATGACGGGCTTGTTTGCAGTATCAAGAAGTATTACGGAAAAAGCAAGTTGTAGAACAAGATCGGAAGAAGTTGGTGGAGGTTATGGGTGAGCTGGACGAGAAAAAGCGACGGACGTTAGTATCTGCATGTGACCAGGTCAACCGTGATTTTGCCTCTATATTCAGCACCCTTTTGCCTGGTGCGCAGGCGCAGCTACGACCACCTCCGGGACAAGGTGTCCTCGATGGCCTTGAGGTAACGAATTTTGTTTTTTTTTAATACTAATTCTATCAGGTAATTGATTGTTGATCTTATTGATATGGCGACGACAAAACAAAACTAAAGAAAGTTGTTTAAAAAAATACAAGATTTTAAGAATATAAGATTAAGTGAATTCTTTAGGCGCATGAGGGTAAAATTTGTATGGATGAAACGCAATAATAATAATATTAGCGTTACGAAGATGTGCAGCGTTTTTGTCAAAGAAAAGGGAAAGAGCGATTGAGACCGATTGAGAGAGAGAGAGAAAGGGCGAACGTAGCATGAAGCAAATATCCATGGAGCGAGAGTAGGGAGCAAGCAAGTGAGAAAGATCGAGAGAGAGAGAGAGTGAATTAGAGCGAACGTCGCATCACGCACAGTGCCATGGAGCGAGAGGTGGAAGATAGAGAGCTATAATGATCATCTATTCGTGGGTAGTGCAGGTTGCGCGTGTCAACACAAGTTCCGTATTTCTATTTCATTTAAAAATATTATTTGTGGAAAATAAAGTTCAAATATGTGTTTAAAAGTCATATATTAACACAAAGTAACGAGGACATACATAGTTTAGTGCAAAATCCGTCAAAAATAGACTTAAAATAAACTGTGAACAGAACAATAATTTATAAAATTTATACGCGACTAACTTTGTTCAAAACGACTATATTTTTTATAAATGTGTGATTTCGAAAGTGTATTATTGTGACTATAGTGACTTGTGACACTATTGTGTTGTGGATTCTTTTTGTTGGTTATGAAAACCTTTACCTAAATGACTAACAGAAGATGTATATAGTCATTCACGACAAACGTCACTAGAAAATAGCATCTATACCAATATTTCGAAGTTACATACAATTAACCAGTTAGCCGATTGCGGAAGTCGTTGCCTCATCAAATAATCCCGAGTTCAAATCGGTGTTTTGTCTTGATCCTCTTTTCTTTTTCTTTTTTTTTTTTTTTTGTTATTAACTACTGCTAAAAGGATCTGTAAAATGAACTCTCAGAATCGTGACAACGCATCTGATCGCGAGACTGAGCTCCCCGGTAAACAGAAGCGACTCGCAAATTATAATGTCGAGGAATTTGTCACATTCCGTAGAGAGATAAAAGACATGCTTCGCACATTCCAAAGGGAACAAAGCAAAAAGATGGACGATCTGCACAGACAGCAAAATAACCGCCTCGATTCTTTAGAAAAGTGCATGTCTGAAATATCCACCAAGATGACCACTATTGATACTACGAGTCAGGATATCGAAAAATCTGTCGATTTTCTATCGGAGAAAATCGATATATTCCAAACAAAGATAGATAGCCTACAATCGCAGTGGAAATCATTGGACTGTCGGGTACAAGTGATCAAGAACGACAGGATTACATTACACGATCACTAAACAAAACCTGCGTGGAAGTGCGGAATGTTCCTAAAAATGGTCGTAATTCTAAATGCGAGCTATACGAATGTGTTATAAGTCTTTGCAAAAACTTGAATGTCCCGATTGATAACCATGACTTAAGGGACGTCGTGAAGGTGCCCAACCGCAAGGATTCTTCTATATCTAGCCTTGTAGTGGAATTCTCTAACACATTACGCAAAACCGAGATCTTAAGTGCTGTGAAAAAATATTACAAATTACACAACAACAAACCAATATCATCTAATCTTCTCGGTATACCCGGTGACGCGACGTCTATCTATGTCTCTGAGTACTTATCACGGAAAACAAAAAGACTGTATCACGTAACCAAAGACTGGGCAAAAGCAAATGACTACAAGTACTGCTGGGTGTCTAATGGACAGGTCTACGTACGCCGTCAAGAAGGAGCCCCTTACAGGCTCATCAACTCCGAAGAACAACTCCATCCGACTCAAGGATGACTAGTCTTTCTTGCATTCGCCTATATGATGTATCACACATACCAACACCAAATCATACAAATCAAATCCAGACCTTAATATATTACGCATATCTTTTTTCAAACACACACTCCATACAGCAAGCACTGTCATACCTAATAACAAGCTTCTATCAGCCAACTCCTTTGTTTTATAAAGAGTACTACGTCTTCTACCGGCATATACCATTACTCACACACATAACTATTGCCTCTACTCTCAAAAATATACTGTCCGACCACAACAATTACTCTGGCTATTCCTTTTTACGGATTCATAAATATCTCTCTAACCCACCATCTACTTGTGTCTATAAAATTCGATAGCAATGATTTAATCCAGGCCATTGATGGCACGAAATTCAGCGATAGCGAGCTTTTATGGCATCCTGAAGACTGCAAAAGTTTCCTCTGCAGGCCCAACCTATCAATCGTATCACAAAATATTCGAAGTGTCCAGAAAAACTTCGACGCCTTTACCCTCTTTCTTGCCAGGCTCGGGTTCGATCCAGAGGTCATTGTACTTACCGAATGCTGGATCGATCAACATTTTGACGGACTCTGTTTGAACGGATATATCTGCAAATACTCAACACAATATATTAACAAATGTGATGGTATTGTTATTTTCCATAAGCCGGACATAAACGTCAAGATATCCGAACCTACTTTTTCTGAAAGCAATTGTCTAATCTTGACAATCGATGATGACATAGCAATAGTAACATTATATCGTTCTCCATCCTTTGTAAACATTGACAATTTTTGGCATCGCTAGATCAAATCTTAAATCAAATTCAAAACAAATCTACCTACATAGTAGGGGACATAAACATTGATATAAAAGAATCGTCAAGTGATATCAGGAAAGACCAATACTTAAACCTTATAGGTTACCATGGGCTTGCACCTGGCCACACCTTTCCAACACGAGAAGGAAACTGCTTAGATCATGCTCTTGTAAATTCAAGCCTCCTAGCTAAAGTGGCAGTTTGCCCTTCATTAGTGTCAGATCACCTTTGCGTTATTTTAGGAATTAACACCATCCCCATAGCAACACCACAGCCTGAGGCCCTTAGAAACAAGACCCGAATCAACTATGAAGGAGCTACAGAAGAACTAAAGCTCACTGACTGGAAACACCTCTATGACATCAAAGAGATAAATAACGCAGTTGAAACCTTTAACGATACGCTAAAGAATGCCATCTCAAAACATACCGTCATACAACCAGCGAGAAACTCCAAAACCATTAGGAAACCATGGATGACCGCTGGTCTTCTAAATTGTGTAAGAAAAAGAGACACTCTTCACAAAACCGCTAGAAAACATCCCAAAGATCTTGAACTATTGGATAAATATGTAAAATATCGAAACTTCTGCAATAATCTTCTAAAGATACTTAAAGAAAACTTCGAAAAAAAGCACGATTAGGCAGAACAGACATAACACCAAAAAACTATGGGAGTCAGTAAAAAGTATATGCCACATAGGTTCAAAGGAGTCGCATTCCACTGACCTACTTCAAATAACACCCGATCCTGTGGTAGCTCTAAATAAAGCCAACGACTTTTTTACAAACATAGGCAATAGTTTAGCGGAAAGGACTATCACATACTTACATACATCTGAGGAACAGCTAGCAAAAAATATAGATAAGCCATCCAATCCAAACTCATTTTTCTTACATCCAACAGACGAAGAGGAAATATGTGCAACTATCAACAAACTTAAGGGTAACTCAGCTGGAGGTTGTGACAACATAGGAAGCGAACTGATAATCAGACTTAAAAACATCCTTGCGGCTCCTATAACCTACCTTTGTAACCTTAGCATGTCGACCAGCACCTTTCCTGAAGCTTGGAAGCTAGCCAATGTAACCCCAATCTGGAAGTCAGGAAACAAAATGGACGTCTCTAATTACAGACCAATATCCCTTCTCCCAGTCATAGCCAAGATCCTAGAACGAATAGTGAACAAGAGGCTGCTCTCATTTTTAGAAAAGCAATCGCTCATTTCCTACAACCAATTCGGGTTCAGAAAACAAAGATCTACTGCAGACGCTGTCAGTAATCTTACTGACCATATAAGCGAGAAATTGGATATGGGGCAGGTATGTATAGGTGTCTTCTTAGACCTCGCAAAAGCCTTCGACACGGTCTCACACTGCATTTTGCTGCGAAGAATGGAACTGTTAGGAGTGAGAGGGGTGGCTCTGCAATGGTTTGCATCCTACCTTAAGGATAGGCAACAGCGTGTTAGTCTTAGGGGACACACAAGCCACAAGAAATACGTCAGATTTGGAGTACCACAGGGCAGTGCGCTTGCACCGACCCTCTTTTAATATATATCAACGACCTGTGCAGTCTGCCACTGGACAACGGAAATATTTATTCATTTGCCGACGATACAGCTATGATATTTCATGCTAAAACTTGGGAACAGGTTTCTGTCTTAGCTGAGAAAGGTATAAATTGCGTCTCCAACTGGCTTCAAAACAATCTGCTTAGTCTAAATCTCAGCAAAACCAAATTTATGTGTTTCAGCATAACAGATCGCTCCCGCCCAACGACCCTACCAGTCATAAAACTCCACACGTGCTATAACCAATATCCATGCCAGTGTCCTGTTCTCGAATACACCGAAAGTATAAAATATCTAGGAATAATAATAGATCGACACCTCACTTGGGAAAAGCACATTGATGCACAGTCTTCTAGGATCAGAAAGCTTATGTTAATATTTAATCGACTGAAACGAGTAGCGGAGGACGAAGTTATTAGAATAATTTATTTTGCACTTTGTCAGTCCATTCTCACATACTGTATATCGGCATGGGGAGGAGCGGCTGAATCTCTATTGCTTAAGTTGGAACGTGCACAGAGAGCAATCCTTAAAGTTGCCTATCGCAGGCCGTTTAGATACCCCACAGTCAAACTCCACCTAGAAACAAAAACCCTCTCGGTAAGGAAGCTTTACATCTTGGCGACCTGTTCAAGATATCATAGATTCCATGGGCTCACAATTCAGGACACATCTAAGAACAGACGTTTTGCATTCCCAACGCCAAAACGAAGGACTGTATTTGGACAACGCTCCTTTGCATTTAGGGGCCCCTTCCTTTATAACAAAATCTCCAAATCTATGGACTCTGAGATCGTAAAACTATCCAGATATAAATTAGCAAGTCACATAGAAACTACACTAGCCAAATTGGATTTCGAATCCACAGAGGCATTACTACATATCTTGGTATGACTTTGAGGTTTCATAAACACAGACACAGTGCACGATCATAACAACTTTCAGCTACATTCTCAAATACATGCGCAAACTCACCTATTCACACACTCACTCATTCACTTCATACGTAACACTAAATTTATAACTATTATTGGTATTTTTTATTTTTTATTATCATTTTTTTCATATCACATTTTTAAACTAATTTTAACATGTACCACGAAACAATTGTTTTCTAGTTACCCACAACACAGGGCCTCCCTAGTGTGGGGACTAGCGATTATGATTTCTGTCACAAACCTTTCTGTCATCAATAAAGTTTTTATTATTTATATTTATTATTAGGGCTTTTACCTTAGTAATAATTTACAAAAACATTTCACTTCTGACATGTGTAGAAGTTAAACGTGTTTACGCACGCACTTTTTTCTTGGGTAGTGCATTTATCATTTAAAATCACGCCATCACTACCAATAGAAGCGATAAAATACGAAAAAATATATATTTAGAGCTACGTAAGCGAGGAAAGTTAGTCAATAGTGATGTAGGACGGAATTGTTTCTTAAATATAAATTAAAACTTATGTTGTCAACTTATTTACTATGTTTGTATGTAATGCTTGAGATTGATTTGCTCCAGTTCAAACAATTTGTATTAATAAAAACTTAGCTATTTAAAAGAGTGGCGGAAAGTTTCTTGTCAGTTCTTCTTGCCCGCTCTACGCCCTTGACTTGCGAACTGGTAGTAAATGTAAATTTACAATTAATTTAACTTCTTTTTGACGTTCATAAGTGTACTTGTTTTAAGATATTTTGACTTGACTTAACGTTAACTAATCGATAGGTACGAGTGGGTTTTAACGGCACTTGGAAGGAATCTCTAAGCGAGCTGAGCGGGGGGCAGCGGTCTCTCGTAGCCTTGTCCCTAGTATTGGCCATGCTGCTATTCAAACCAGCACCGCTGTATATTCTGGATGAGGTGGACGCAGCACTTGATCTCTCTCACACGCAGAACATTGGCATTATGCTGAAGGAACACTTCCGACATTCGCAGGTATTGTAATGGATGCTGTAAAAACCGCCTTAGGGTGCGTCCACATCTGGACGCACCCTAAGGCGTCATGTGGACGCACCCTTATGAAGACCAAAATACGGTTACCATGGTTACCAATATTTTATATGAGAGTAACATTCGTCCACGTTTGTTAGTTTAAGGCAGTTAGGTTAAAATATGCTCAGTTACTTGAGTGTCGTTACAATTCACCTATATTACATAATCTATTTTTACTTAAACTTAGAAAGAAAAACAGCATTTATTTCATTAAAGCAGACATACACAAAAAATAAATACATAGACAATCACTTTAATCAAAAATGGGCGCAACTCAGCTTTTAGTTGGAGTAACAGCTATACACAGTTACAAACTATGTTAAATTAAACTCATGTTTTTTTCAGTTTGTTATAGTATCTCTGAAAGATGGTATGTTTAACAACGCGAATGTTCTCTTCCGCACTCGGTTTGTGGATGGTATGTCGGCGGTACAACGCACTGTCAACCAACGGCGATGAGACTGTAATATGTATTTTGTTCTTTTACTTGTAAATAATAAAATGTAGTTATTATAATGTTGTTTCTTGTTATTCCTTTTATTAAAGTTAAATATAATTTATATAATTATATTCTGAGACTTTTGTAATGATGCAAAAGAATGGCAATTATTTTCAATAACAAAACAAAAAAATAATTCTAGTGACGTCACTATTGTTTTGCCGTGGTTATGTAATGGTCGCTGGTTTTTATAGTCGCTTAAAAGACTAGATTTTTAATAGATACAATTATTAATTTTTGGTTGTGAGCTATGACAAAACTCATCAACTTGAGGTAGACATAGAAATACTCAAAGGTTAGTATTGTCTTTTACTGACATAACCTTTACACATTTAAAGAAAACACTTTTTTACCAGGTGTTTGACAAACACATGGGATCCTATAATATCCAAATTAAATTCTTAAGATCCGCGAAAATAGAGGACACCGTAAGCCATTTCTGCCAAAACCCTCCATCTTTTAGTCGATACCAACTCCGGGGAAATAAATACAGATAATACAACTTTTTCTATAGCAGTGATACTTTTTGACATTCAACACCTTTTTTTGTCTTCAGTCACCGTGACCATGCACGCTGTAAAGCACGCGAAACGTCGGTTAAATTTAAAATTATGTAAAATAATACATAACTTCATTCCGGTAAAAAAGTGTTTTCTTTACTCTAAGGTTGCCAATTAGTTATAAAATATTTTTAATTTGGACTGTGCCGGACACTTGGGAAATTATTTCTTACGTGAGAAGGTGATAACAATTGTTCATTCCTTTAAATAATGGAGAAATAACTAGACACTATTTGAGTTTGTTTATTTAGACAGTTACATTATTACCCTTTCATTCTGTCCTCAAAAACTGTAGCTTAACAAAAAGTAACAACTATATTAACCCAGCCCTAATATTCCTAAAGTCCGCTTTTGTGAATCCACCTCTATTTTTATTACTAAAGAAATCATTTTCGCAACCAAACATTAACGTTTACAACTTTAATCTTCAGTTGTTGAGTGAGGTAACGAGATTGTTAAATTTGTTAAATACTTTTTTAGATTTTCGACACAATATATTTATAATTATTATGTAAGTACTGATATCATAACTATTACGTTACCGTATTATGCTCAATTATTTGAAAAAAAATATTCTATTGGATAGTCAAATCGTTTAATTAGAAATACAATGAACCAACTTACAAAGACTGATTCACTCCAATTCTCTGTTGATAAACAGATAGATACGCGCCCACACGTTTCATATTCAGTCAGGTGATACATACTACCGCTACTTCGGGATAAAGTTTCTTCTGTGGCAGGGCCAACTACAACAAAGGAACAGTCAGCAAGTCTCCCCAGTTTCGCAGAGCAGTTAAAAAACAAGTTCCTGTGAGATCGTCTAGTTATTTTTTTTATTATTCAAGTTGTTTGTCGCTATGGATCTAAATATGAACCGATTCAATCAAATTTGCAACTTTGTTTGATCCAACTTAAAAGATAGGATAGCATACATCTCAATTTATACCCGCAATATTATTTTATTGCAAAATATTTGTTTATTATTTGATAGTCACAATTCTAACAGATAGCGCTGTGTTGAAAGTACCAACGTTTCACGTAAGCAAAAAAGCATGGTGGTCCCCATGACTGGTGTTCTCCTACCGTTGCCTTTGAATAGTTTGCTACTATGTTATATAACAAAAACCTTAGCCACAGCAACGCTTGGCTGGTCTGCTAGTAGTATATAAAGTTAAAACGTTTTCAGGAGTACCTCATTGTTATGTAGGACTCGAAACTACGATAGTGATTTTATGCAAGGAGCAACACAATTTGTTTAGTCTATGGTTTACTGAAAGCTATTGTTATTGAATGGGAATATCTTTAACAAAATCTAGCCCATGAATAAGGAACGTGGCAACAAATTTTGGCATTTGAGGGTATTTTAAATGTTTAGTTTGACTTAACTTCCAAGCCCGTTCAAGCCACTCAAATGCGAAATATAAAAGAGTTCGGACCATTCATGGACCGTTAAAGATTCTATTACTGAAGTCATAAACATTCCCCACTCACCTGACCCCCGGGAAATAAAACTTAACTGTTTAATATCAGACACTGAAGCTAACACTTTTATAGTCGCTACTAAAACTACGATTTCATAACTAGCGAGTGCCAATCAAATTGCTACTAGTATACTTGAGAGCATTTTTAAATTTATAGGAATAACCATTCCTCGCTTCTCATCGTAAACCTAACAGAAATATACAGAGAAACAAATCATAGATTTCTAAATTATTCATTTCTTTGATTGCATTTCATTTACATTTTCTTCCAGTTTTGTTAAAATATTTATGAAAAAAACTGTCCACCTCAAATTATGTGGATATCTGTCGTTAATCTTCGCTATTCTGTGCAAGCTTAGACCCTCATAACTTAAGAAATCCGTCCCCGTATAATTTCAACGCTCGAAGATATATTACGGGTCTTGGAAATAGTTGTTGATAAACATATCTATTTTACAAGATAATATAGAACATGTAAAAATACTAAATGAAAATGAACAACTTGGCAAACGTAAGAAAATATTACACTAAATCGTCATTGTGTATATCACCGTAAAATTGTAAACACCGTTAGATTGTCATCTATCTCGCGAGATTGTGAACTGTCGAATAATAATACGTTAAATTGTAAGCAGTACGTTGAGTTCACAATCTTTCGACAGTTCATTATCTCGCGAGATAGATTACAATCTAACGGTGTTTACAATTTTACGGTGACATATACATTTTGTGTCCATTGTTTTAGCTCAGCCTTGCGATTTTGTAACTCACTTTTCGAACTCACACACTTTTCATTATGAAAAGGTGGGGAATTTTTTTTTTTTTTTTTAAAAAAAAAAAAAAAAAAAATTTTTTTTTTTTTTTTTTTTTTGGGGGGGCCCGCGGCCCGCCCCCCCGTTTTTTTTTTTTTTTGGTTTTTTTTAAAAAAGAGGGGGCTGATCAATCTTTATTTCCTTACAAGAACGTCTTTTGTTCATTCACCATTGTGAATTTGCATTAATGGTGCATTTCGATTAGAGATGATTTTGTTTTTTCGTTACGGATACTTGTAAGATTACAAATATGACATCGAAATAAAATATCGATAGGTACTTTATTCTGTATATTCAGTAAACATACTCGTATTTCTAAATAAAGTTTTAAAGCGGATTTGAATTAAATGTGTATAGAACTACACATCCCCACAAAATACTGGAGTATGGGTTGGAAAATAAATGAATTCCTATTTTTATCGAAAACAATCCTAAAGTAAATAAGTGATGACATAACGTTTGAAAGCAGAACCACTCTCAAAGCGTGTTAATATTGAAATAGTGCCGTGCCGCATTAGAGGTATGTTGATGAAATAAACTTTTGAAAAATATTTTATAGGTCGCCTACTCCTTATACTTATTGCAAACTCGTGGTCGTATTATGAAAAAGTAAGTACACCTTTGTATTTCTGACCTAGAATTTTCTTAAGCATATTAAAAGGGCTTGCTTGGAAAAGTAAGTAGAAATCATGTGTATTTTATTTATTTAGAATGTACTAATTAAGGAGTTATAAATTGTATATAAAGATAATAGAGGGATTATTTTTGAAGTGAAACTTCTTTTGGCGCATTAGGGTAAAATTTTTACGGATGAAACGCAATAATCATAATATTAGCGTCACGAAGTGTGCATTGTTTTTGTCGAAGAAAAGGGAGAGAGCGATTGAGAGAGAGTGAGAAAGGGTGAACGTAGAATGAAGCAAATAGCCAGGGAGATAATTTTTTTTTAATAAATAAAAAAAAATAAATTAAATTTTGACACTTAATATGTACTAGTTGGTCCCAAAGTTCTGTCACTGGCACATTATTTCTAAATTTCGAGCAGGATTTTATAAAAAGGTTATTGCATTCTATTTTGGAATGTTTGACTATTGTTTTAAAATAAAAAATAATAACTTTCAGTAATTTTTCACGACGGAGTGGACATTGAAAGAAGACCGAATAGTTGTTTTGTGTTCACCGCTGTGGCACTCGCCGAGTACCATTTTCAAGTTGCTCAAAAATTTTAATATAACGCTTAGGTTTGTGTACGGTACTATTGATAGGTACCTTGAAGTCTCCAGTGTTGAGGACAAGAAAAGAACTGGCCGGCCACGCCCGCAAGAACACCAGCAGTAATCAAAGCTATCAAAGCGCGGATAGTAAGAAATTCTGTCCGAAAACAGAAGTTGATGGCTTTGCAGATGGGTGTCAGTGGGAAATAATAAAAATTTTAAATGAAGATCTTGGTCTACGAGCATACAAAAAAAAGTGGGAACTTACTTAATGCTCGTCTAAAAGCAAAAGGCTTAAGAGATCGCGGGTGTTGTTTAAGCGGTAGCGAAAAACCGACACCGTGATATCCCTCTTTACGAAAACGATGAAAAAATTTCGATATTGAAGAGAAGTACAATAAACAGATTGATACAGTGTACGCTAGGAGTTTTGAAGAAGCTAAAAATAAAGTTCCAAAGGTGCAACATGGACATCATCCATCATCAGTAATGGTCTGGTTGGGAGTGTCCTATCCTACGGGCTAACTGAGGTTAATTTTTGCAAAAGGGGTCAAAACCAGAGCTAAAGTGTACCGAGAGACGGTTTTGGATCGCCTTGTCAAAGACCTGTCCAGCACCCTATTGCGGGAATCCTTCGTGTACCAGCAGTACTTTGAGCCTGCATACAAAGCCAAGACCACTAAAGCCTGGTTTGAGCGTCAAAACATCGATTTAATTAGACATGAGGATTGGCCTTCCTCCAGTCGACTTAATCCTTGACTATAAATTTTGGCAGGTCTTAGAGAGGAAGGTCTGTGATACACCCCATAAAAATTTGGAGAGTCTGCAGTCGTCTTTAAAAAACTCAGTCACTGAAATCGACATGAATATGGTGCGTGCTGCGATAGACGACTGGCCGCGGCGCTTAAGGGCCTGTATTAAAAATAAGGGAGGTCATTTCCGAATAAGTTTATGCTATTCCTCTATCCTTAATTAATGAACTAGAATTGAATATCACTCATAAAAACTGATCAGTACTTTTGTTTTTATGATTATTTCCATTCATGACAGAACTTTGGGACCGACTGATTATTATAACAATTAAATTCATTAAATTCCTAACATCTTCCTTTTTCCCTCCCGCTAAGTTTCGGTAATCTAAAGTAGATTTGTAGAAATATGAACAAGAAATTAGTTTGCCAAAGAAGTTTCACTTCTGACATGTGTACTTTGTTACGCACTTTTTAATACATTTAAGTGAAAAATAAAGAAATCTTTTGGATACCAATAAGAGCGGGATATAGGAAAAATTTGAGTTCCGCGATAACGAACATATATAAGTAAAATAGTGATATGGGGTTGTAATAATTGTTTTAAAACCCACACTTTTTTCTGGGTTAATGGAATCTTTACTCACTCGTCGTGGTGGTGAAATGTCTAGTCAATATGGCTTAACTATTACAGTAACATAGAATATTCATTGCAAACTATGTCGTACATAAATAAATAATAATTATATATATGTATATATACATATTTTACCCTCCTAAAGAGTATCTCATCATGGTGCAAGAAGAAAAATATACAGGTAAGTAGAATTTCTCTGAATAACTTTTCTTACAGAAAATAAATTGCTTACCTCTAGATGCAAATAGCACAGAAACTATTATTTTTATCGAAAACCATCCGCCGCGATAATCATAATTAATATCGAGTTATTGGATTTATGATTTATGGAGATTTAAAAAATGAATATAATTTTTATATGGCGTGAGTTGGATATTCTTTCTATAATACTTACGAATTAAGTTATATGTTATAATAGGTAATAAGATAAAAAATAATTTGCAAATATGAATAAATAATAAAAAGCAAAATGCGCGCGATATCTCGGTATGCGATAAACAATATTTATTTCGAGGGAGTTTTAAAATACATCCTTGAAGCGTGAATGATTGCAGCAACAAAGTGAAAATTATAAATGCAAATTGTTCCGCAGTGCAGTGTTGGCTGGATTCGGGAATATATGCCGGACTCTCCCAGATTTTTGAACCGAAAATGTTCGGATGGTACCCAATGGTTTGGACCGCTCGCCGACAAGCATTGACCCATCCCTTGCATACGCAAAGTATTACAACGTGAGAAGAACACGTAGGGGAAGCCCGGGCAAGACGCATATGTTAAGGGATAATGTAAATTAAAGCCACAATCTGTTATTCAATAGAACTCTTTGTACTTTTAATTTGTACTATGGTTAATCATATTTAGAAAATAATCACAGAAACTTAAAACCTTTAATGATTTCTATATTATTTGTGAGAATTAACAAAAAGTATCAATTATCCGTTTTGTGCGATCTAATGCTTGCTCAGTTTTGACGGGATTAGACTTCTATACAAATCCAAAAAAACTTGAAGACTTGAAACCATTTAAGTAGGTAAACAAAAAGTCACGATTACAAATAATACTTAGATAAACGTGCAATAGAAAACATTTCATAAGATAATGACTAATACAAAAAATGTATGTATGTACTTCACAAAAATCGTAACAAAACAACGATATTTATTTTTTAACAACAAATGCACCCGCGTGTTCTTTTGGTAATGAACTGTAATGGCATCGCCGGTTGCATGTGAAACCACTAAAAAAATTGCCAAAGCGATATCTATTTTAGATTTATGGAAAAAAACGGTTATTCTTCTTGCCCGTACCTTCTTGCCTTCTTGCCCGGGCTTCCCCTATAATTAAAGTATTTGTACTTAGTAATTAATCATTGGAAGTCTGGCTATGGGACAGGTATAAGATTATTAGACGTTAATAATATATTCACGATTATGTTATACGTATATATGTATTTATAATCGTGAATTAGTAATAAAAAAATAAAGTTCTCTTTTATCAAAATATAAACTTATATAATTTTGGTATGAATAAATTTCAAATATAAAAATTATGACTTAAGTTCTACAAAACTGGAACTGAAGATTATTTAGACAAATGTTTTGTTAAACATAATAGTAAGGGTTTACATATTTATGATGTTATAGACGAAAGAAAAATAAGGTTAGACAGAAGTCTGACCCTCATTACGGCTATGAACCTTATTGGGAAGGGTATGGGAAAAAGTTGGTAGAGAAAAAAAAAAGAAACGGGAGCAGATTTTGCTTGTGGAGAAGAGTGTCATCTTATGTTTGTAGAGTGAGTTACTTTCTATCATTTAAATGTATTATTAGATTGAGATGTTAGAAACATCTTGTGTAAATTTATGAATAGTTAAAAACAGTTGGATGTATTGTGTAATTTCACTGATTCTGATGGCTATTTTCTACGGGTGTGCGCCCCGCAGTAGTTTTTATGTTATTTTATTGAACGAAGTGACGTGTTATTTATAAAAGGATTTGTATTTTTAGATATGGAGAAGTCTGCGGTAGGGGAAAAAATTACACCCACAAAACGTTTGAGAACTACTGCCAGTTGTTGAACCATGACTGTAGCGGACGTGAAAGTACGTTTAGTTATACGTCAATGTATTCAATTATACGTCATCTATAAAAAAAATTCGGGTGCATTACTCCGGTAGTAATTTACAATAATAAATTTAATGTGACTAACTTACATTATATATTCAAATTCAACTTTTCTTTATTATATTTAAATTCAGTACATTATGTACATAACTCAATGTTTTAACGGTAATAAAGTGACAAATACGTTAAAAAATTATTTAAATTCGCAGGACTTCCGTAAACCACTGACAGTATTACCTTATCAGACGGAAAAAGCATTAATTATTGAAATGGATTGCCTTGTAGCGAGATAATACAGTAATAACTAATTTATTTATTACTACTACTACTAATTATTTACTCTATTTAATTTAAAATTGCTGTCATATTTTTTATCCAACTTTGTATTTCGATACAATTATCTTTCTAAGCTTACTAGATTGAAGTAGAGTATATAATGAACGAGACCAATGTCTTGATAATTATATTTCAATTCGGGTTTGAATACATTTTAAATTTTCATTTTGTGACAGAGTGGATGATTGCATATCGCGGGCCGTGCCAGAATGGCACTTTAAAAACCTACCCAACGAAGCGTGCAGACTTCATTGATAGAGCAAAGAAGTATCAATCCGAATTTTATAAGAAGAATCCCACTACGGTCAAATTTGCAATAAAAAAAACATTACCACATCGATCGTTTACAACACGATCGTAGAATGAAATGTGTCCTGAACGATGCCACAAATAAAGTGTTTATCGAAATAAAATTGTCTATACGTTTTAAAGTCATTTTTTATTTGTTTAGTTTATAAGAAATTTTGATATAGGAATGAATATATTTACTATTCATTAATTCTAAATGTAAAATGTAAAATGTGTTTATTTTAATAATTTTAAGTGGATTTTGTACATGGAAATGAAAAGAAAAGAAATGAATTGGTTAAGAATTCCTTAAAAACGGAAAAACTGCATTTTACGTGAGCAAAGCATACCTACTACGTCAGCTAGTCGATAATTTCAATTAGTCGTCGCAGTTATGTTTAAGGAATTCGTGTTTTCAATGCACAGTTAGTATTACTCTTTTCGAATTTATGTCTCTGTTTCCTTTGAAGCGTGATGGAAAATGTTATTCATTTAGTTTTCTGTATATATTTAAAAAAAACAAAAAGTGTCATAATTCAACAACAAAAAAGCAAAATTCACGTTAGTGCATACTTTAAGCGATTTGGATATTTCGTATATTCATGCATTTGTTTTTTCGAACCACACTTTACATCTGATAATAAAGATCATACACGATCTACGCAGTTGCATTGCATCTTGTAGTGAAGTTAGTAGTTTTTTGTGCCTAATGAAGTTAACTAAAAGCTATAACTCAAATTTATTTGGTATTAAGTATAACTATCTTTTCTTTTGTTATAAGATACCAATTCTTTAGGTATCCAACAAAGTAACTTTACTTTTACTAATGATTTCATTATTTTTCTCACAGCCGAAAGGGACGAACCTGTATTTTAGTTTTTTATTAATTTTTACAAGAGATGGTCTAGGTAGTAAGTCAGGGATATTTTATGGAACCGTTGGACGTAGGAAACTGGCCACTTATCCGACAATACTCTTTAAATATTTACAGCCAAGAGGCAGCACGGTTTCCAGCGGCTCTCGTTTCACCCTCCTTCCTATTATTATTGCTTTTCACGAAATTAATTTTTTTTCGCAAAGAAACATCCGGAGGATGGAGGTCTTTATTACGTTAGTTAACTTCTTTAGAGTTGTCCTTGTATTAATTTGGTGTTCCTAGTCGCAACTGGCAACTGCGAACACTCGACATTCTAGTATAAGGTGTGAATACACTTTGTTAGATTTCGAGGCAGCCCTGCGATTCTGTAACTCACTTTTCAAACTCACACAGCGGTTTTCGCATCGGCGGTCGCTCTCAAATCAGTCGTGAAGCAGTCATTTTATGATTTGGCATTCTGATAAACAATAAACTACAAGCTCCCACCTTTTCAGAATGCCAAATCATAAAATGACTGCTTCACGACTGATTTGAGAGCGACCGCCGATGCGAAAACCGCTGTGTGAGTTCGAAAAGTGAGTTACAGAATCGCAGGGCAGAGCTTGCACGACGAGCTGCGCACACGCAGGTAGAGCTTGTTTATAAATGAAAGCGATGTAGATATAAACGGACCATGTCTTGATAGAATTTGTACCACGGGGGTTTTTTTCATTGTAACATTTACAGTTCAATTCTAACTAACAACTCACTTTTAGGGATAAGAATAGTTAAGAAATAGCGGCAAAATAACATTTTTGTTCCAGTTCTGTATTTATGTACACCAGTTGAACAAAAGAAAGAACCAAAAGGGTAAATATGATAAAAGCATTAATCACATAACTGTATCATATGCTTAAGACATTGTTAATTAATGTTTTAATTTCAGTATAAAGTAGCATTGGAAAAAATATGTTCATATTATGAGTAATGTTTGTACTTTGATGATACACACATATTTATAATTAAAACAAGAAAATTTCTTTTGTAAATTATAAATATGTTATTTTTATTTGTTTATTATGAGGTGATAATACTTTTCAATCTGCAACACGAGACTACAATATATATCATTTCTATGCGAAGGACGTTCAAAACATGGGTTGAGAAGAATGTCCCTAAGCTTCAACCAAATTACAACCCAAATCATGGCTATGAGCCGTATTGGCCTGGAGGTCACTGGCTTTATTTGGACAAAGAACTTGGCCCAAATGAGACCACAACCAAAACCCCCCTTGTTTGCGGAGAAGAATGCAACTATTTATATACACGGTATGTTCTTTCATAAAAAAGTGCGTGCGTACCAAGTACACATGTCAGAAGTGAAACTTCTTTGGCAAACTAATTTTTAAGTCTTGTTCATATTTATACAAATCTAAAACTTTAGATTACCCAGAATTAAAGGGAGGAAAAAGGAAGATATGTTAGGAATTTAATTGTCATAAAAATATTTAGAGTCGAAAATTAATACAAATTATAAATTTAATTTTTTAAATTTATTTCTTCGATAGTAAAAACACGTGGCTTTTTAATTTACAATTCGTCATTTGAAATTTCAATAAATTATTTTGCATAAAATATAAAATACTAATACATATTTCATAATGTTAAATAATAATACCTTGTAGAAATTGGTAAAGAGAATACCAATTTCCACAAGGTAATTCACCTTCGCACTCTCTCTCAATCGGTCTCAATGGCTCTCTCCCTTTTCTTCGGCAAAAACGCTGCACATCTTCGTGACGCTATTGTTATTACTAATGCGTTTCAACCGTAAAAAAATTACCCTCATACGCCTAAAGAAGTTTCACTTCAAATTACAAAGGAAAGTTTTTAATACTGTACGACTGTTGCAAGTTTATTTATTTAGTTATTAAGCTTACGACATCACACACAGTCCTAAATTTACTAATTATTTTACAAAATCTTACATCTAAAATGTGTGACACATGTAAGCATAAGTTTCTCAAAAAAAATTAAATAGAAATTAAAAAAATACAATTAAAACATTTACGATAATACAAGCACACAATAAAATAGAATAAAATTACAGAAATTTGTTGGCACTAAGCAGAAAAAAAAGAAAAATCATCAAGTTGATTTTTGATACCATCTGGCCCTTTCAGACATAAAACCAAGCCCTGGTCTTGGTCTAACTCATGATATTTTTTACATCTGGAAATCGAATGTGTTTTGTTTATAGGGTTGGCAAGGTATGTGCTAGAACGGTGGATAACAAAGAGTACCAGCAATGTGTGTCGATATTCGGTCTTTGTCTTGGTTGGTGGCGCGACGAATTCTATCGAGGATTCCATACCTTTGATACCTACTGCAAATTTTTAGACGCACAATGCAGGACTGAATACAGCAAACGTGCGTATTTCACTTACATAACGTTTTGTTAATCTCTCTGATTTAGCGAATTGTAGATCTTTCAACCAAACTAATGGCGAGAAATCAATCAACAAACTTACTAATGGTAGTCATGGTATTAGCTCAGATGAATCAACGAATGGCACTTTTTAAACACACATTAATAAAATAGCATTTCCTGACTTATTCAATAGTTAAAGTTCAGCTTTCAGTAACATATATTAACTTGCGTTCTATATCAATATGTAATGGAATTTTTATATTTTTTTTGATTTCTTAATTTTAGTCATTGGTTATCAAATAAATGTTATATTTTACTTGTATTTTTCAAATGACTTACAGTTGTTTTAAGTGTATAAATACATATATTTAGTTGAACACATGTTATTTTAACCTCAATCTAAATTTATTATATACCTTTAAGGATGGATTTTAGTACATGAAGGGGAATGTTCTCACGACATCGATACCTACTTTAAGCCTCTACACACTTCACCAGGACCGCTGTATAGGTTGAGTTCGTACTTAACAAATTTAGTTAAAAACTACCAGAGTGCTGGCTTAGAGAGTCCACTTCGACAGGGTGTATCTTTACCTGACCAAACGATCTCCGTGGACGGGAATTTACCACTGATGCTGAATATTGGTATTCAGCCGAATCTTGGAATTTTCCCCTCTAACAACCGCGATACTTTTAGGCCTACCCTCCCTCATAAGGTCAAACAATATATTCACAATTTTGTAAAAGATATGTTTTTAGGTAATAACAGTGAAAGTATAAATAAAAAATAGCTATTTGTGTATTGTATATTTTTAAGTTTATTGTTTTATTTTTGTTAAATTTCCCGGCAAAGTTAACCAAGAAAATAATCTTTTAGCAACATAATACAAAATGGTAAAATATTTCACACATAAGTTAGAATTATGGACGTTATCTAGTTATCATAAGGGAACGTTTGCCCTTCGAATAGCCGTCATTATCTTTCGCATATATCGTCCAATGTAACTGAATGGTAAAGTAATGTTCTCACTTAAAAATAATTTCTCTTTCTTTGTGAAGGAGGGAATGGCACTCGGTCATTTGTTCTTCTTATCAAGACCCACTGGGCCACACATACAGGCCAATTTATTGCTTTTGTGAAGCCTTCATCTAGCTTTGATTCATATTTTTAGACATTGTCTTTCAGAGAACTGTTTCGGATAGATATGAACGATTTCGAGAAATCGTTTTATCGCAAAATCTTACAAATTCACGGCAATTGCCATGTTTAATTTGAAGCTATATAAAAAATGGTAAAAAATGGCTATGAAGGTATATTTCTTAAAGATTGCAACACGATTAATAAGAAAATTATGTCAATAATCATAATATGAAAAAATCAAATATGAATAAATCTTTATACAACTTTTGTATGATAAAAGTTACTGAACTATTAAAATTATGTACAAGACGTTAGACGTGAACTTTTTATATAGACTTCATAAGTTAGGGTAGATTTCAGAAACTCTTTTGTAAATTCTTTCAGTTCAAGAAGAGTTGCGCTGAATTGACAAACTGAAATGCACTATCTTTTGCACTCAAAGCTGCAATTTATAATCTATGAAATTTTACAGCAGACTTAGAGTGAATTAACGTAACCAAATTATCTTGCAAGATCATTTTTAACCTTCGTGAAAGACATTAGAGTTTATATTCCAAATTCTCATTATAGTTCTAAGGCGTAGGATTAAAGATGCAACAGCCGTGAAATGAAATACCGACCCAAACTTGATGAACATTCACATTTCAAGATATTTTTGAACTATTCTGTTCCATTATTGTTTAAAGATTAAATAAGTTGCGTTTCTATTTGTAATAATTTTAATTATACCTTCTCAATTTAAACTAAATGTTAAATGGGTACCCTTAGTCACTGGGAAAATAAAACTGAATCGCAATCTCTATTACTAATCCAATGTAAGAAGTTATTGATTCAATAATTAAACCCATTTGCAATAAACCTAAGAAAATTTACGTTCTGAGGTCGATTTCTTTTAATGAAATGAAATTTAATTGTCTGACGTTGTCTGTATACTTATTATCATGCAAATTAACACGCGTGAAGTGAATTCTGGCACTTTTTTTATGAATTCTTTAAAACCGATGTACACGACAAACGAATAAGAAGTGGTTGGTCGGTAATAAAGACAATAAGATTTTTTTACATTGTTTAATTAAATAAAGTTACAAATGTAAAAACCTAATACCAAGTGCAAAAGAGTTTATTTATTTAAGTAATTAATAATATTTTTGTACAACATATTAAAATAAAGTCAATTACTATAAATCTATTTCTTGACGTCAAAATATTATCTTCTAATTATTTTATATCCTACCAATTCTTTTATATAATCTGGAATAATAAGACATATCGCTAAAATTACGTCGTCTTATAAATTGTAGACATATTTCCTCGGTTCTATTTACCTTCGTTATCTAGAGCCATGACCTTTATTATATATTATATAAACAATGGGATAATGTCGCGAACTTCAGTTCGTAAGAAAACATCAGAATGGGCAGGCTCAGCCAGGATCAGATCCAATTCTTCAAGGACAATGGTTATATTATATTGAAAAAGCTCGTTCAAGGCAAAGAACTACAGAGGATAACTGAAGAGTATGATAATCTGTTCCATAGGAAAAATGAGTCCAAGATGGAGAGTTCCTGGGTAGGCAGTGAAAAGAACCATAGAGCGAGTGACAGCCCCTATACAGTACGTATTACATTTAAATAAATCTGAATGATTATTATCGTTTATGTTAGACACACCGAAAGCTTAAGTTAGAGTATGAGTTAAAGCATTGTTTGATTCAGGTTTCATTATTTCAATTGAATGAATTTTACTTACAATACGTGCTTGGGACTTTTTAGACAAACAAAGTCTAGCACATACATTAAGCTATTGCGTTTCATTTCATCTTTGCTATATAAACATTTTTTATCAATAGTTCAAGTTCATGGGCGCTAGTAATAAGTATTGATAATAATTTAACTCAATGATATAACCTATAACACTTGGTTAATTAAAACGTGTAAATCAGGAAGTAATTTAGCTTAAATGTATTATTTGATAGTATTATAATATAACCATATACATAACCCAATATAAGATTTTAGGTAAAAGGAATCCATAACCTTCAAATGCACCATGCAGTTTTTGGGCGATACCTGTATAACGACAATCTGTTGGATGCTATGGAGGACCTAATGGGTACACCCAACATTGCTCTTCATCATACCAAAGCACATTATAAGCCACCAGAAAAGGGGGCCGCTTATCCTATGCATCAGGTAAAAAAATTTCGTTAACATTATGATAAATGATCAATTAATCTCTTGAAATCAATGGTTTCGACTATTTATTTGCGTGTTGTTCCCACGAGAATGTATGTGCGTGCTCCTATTTCACCATGCCTGCTGCTGAAAGAGGACACATCTTTGTTTTTAATTTATTTTATTATTATTTATTACTAAGGATGTCATGTGGAACAATGTCATGTCAGTGTGTAATGGTTGCAGCTCCTTACAAACGTTGTATAAAGCAAAAAACTTGGAAATCAAAAAGAATGGCGGAGAGTTTATTGCCAGTTCTTCTCTTCCGTTCTACGCCCTTGATTTGAGAACTGGCAGTAAATGTAAAAGTAGAATCATTTAATGTATATTTCTTTTTTGACGTTATAAGTGTACATTGTGTTACCTACATGAATAAATGATTTTTGACTTTGACTTTGATTGTTTGTAATTAGGATTACCACTATTTCCCATACGAAAATGATACTATGACAGCTGCTGTGCTTTTTTTGGATGATGCTGACGTAGAGAATGGTACACTATTTGTTTGGCCGGGCTCACACAAGTTTGGACCTCTCGAAGACTTCGGACCGAAAGAAGGCAGCGAGTTTCATTATGTCGATCAGGTTTGTTAGTTTCTTAATAAATATATTGTTAATAAATACAAAATACACACGTTCCTTAATGTATAATCTCAAGAAGTTAATGTTATTGAGATTTATTAGTTTGGAATTTTACTAACACAAGTGAAGTTAACACGTACTCTTTTATTTTTAGAAAAAATACCCAATCGAAAAAGCAATACCTGTTGTTGTGGAAGCCGGAGATGTGATTGCGTTTAGCTACCTAATGCTGCATGGTAGCACCCCTAATTTATCCAAAAGGCCACGTCGAATGCTTTTGGCGCAGCTGTACGACCCCCACGACAAACCTATTGGCGGAGAGCGGTCACAACCTGGCAAAGGTTGGGTTTTACGAGGAGTGAATCTTAATAGGGATGCCACAGTAGCAAGGCGAGCGGACGATAATTGAATAAGTTTTCAAACATTGCCTTGAAATTTGTTATTTCTCTACAAATACGACCAACAAAATATTCCAATTCGATAAAATACATCTACAATAAAATCCTTGTAAATTGACGGTATCGTATATTATTTATTTTGTGTTTTGAAATACTCGTATTATCACTAATATGTTATACAAGTCGTAAGGAAGTTAATAGGTGGTGTCTGGAAGTGGATGCATGGAAGGCCGCCAGTTGTCCTGCATTACATTTAATTATTTAAATTATATTATATTTCTGTATGCAAAGAATTATTTTAGTTAATAACTAAAAATAAAATAAATAAATACGTTTAATAAAATTCTTATAGACTTAGAGCTTACAAATGCGTCAAAAAGTCCTTGACATTGAAGATTTAAGATAGGACAACCAAAGCTTTTTGCTACTGCTACCAATTCTAAGAAAATTTGGCTATCAGTCTCGTAGTGAGAGAGGTGAGCTCAGACAATATGCGTATAGGCACAATCTTTCAATAATGAACATATTATATTTAAATATCACGCTAGTGATTTACATCAGAGATCCTAAATATCATATATTTTCTTTCCTAGTATGGAATGGTAATGGACGCATAGCAATGTGGTGGAAATTGAAACTCTGAAAGAAATTGTGAATTGAAATTTTTCCATACATTCCAAGAAAATAGTAATGGTCACCGGCATCATCAATGTTTTCATAATTATTTTGATGTATGTACCGCGGATATTTCGTTATAAAAGAACATTTTTATAACTTCACTGACATTAAACTTGGAAATGACATTGTATCCGGGTGTTAACATTCATCAAAAAGCCTCTTAAGGCTTTGATTGAAATACCATAAACGGCCAGAAAAGCCGGATATACGTGATAATCCCCGTGAGGTCACATTGCGCTTCCCGGCCATAGCCAGAGGAATCCATTATTTACATGTTGTACCAATCAGTGCAATTTGTTTCAACGTCTAGACTGATCACTAACTTTGAATACTAAGCTGTAAATTAAAGAGAGTACTCATTAAAGAGGTGGAAAACATTAGCATTATAACACGTATCAATGATATTTTTATCTTAGCTGTAACCGTCAGGCCGTACCACAGTGTTTATATAGTTTGATTAACGTTTGTAAAACTAATAGTAATAAATTAAAACAAAACACAGTTACTACACAGAATAAATAATAATTTTTAATAGATCGTAACCGTTATGGCCACTTGTTCAAAATAAATTGTGGGAAGTATGCATCATATAACTTATTATGATGAATAAATACACCCAAATAATATTGAACGAACGATTCCGAAGTGATAAATATCGGCAAAGCGTAGGAACAAGTATGGGCAAGTGGTGGCATCATAAACCGCTTCGCTAAACAGTACGGGGACGACATAAATTCTCTTTATGGTCACATTTGTCAAGGGATAATACGCGTGAATAGCGGCTTGAGGACAAGTCTTATTTAATGTCTAAATAAGTGTTCTAGCGATGCTTTATAGATATACTAATCCATAACTAGATAATTTTATAAGAAATTTGGAATTGTATCTTGGCCATGAGGAAGAAGGAGAAGAGGTCGCCAAAAAAAAAGGTGGATAGAAGAAATAGAAGCGGGAGCAGGAAACGAATGGGGAAAGAGAGCCATAGACAGAGTCAGTTGGAAAAAGCTGGAGATGGCCTTCCGGAGTTCCGATCGACGGTGCTGAAGGAAGCTAGGATATAGGATAACAAGCAAAAAAAAAAAAAATGTATAAAATGTAAAATAATCTAAGCTGTATATTATAATTTGTTTTTGTCATGATTGGAAATAAAACGGACTTTATTATTATTATCTTGGGTCATTACAATAAAGTTCATTCTAATAAAGAATTTTCGACGTGCCGATGAAAATCGTCAACGTTAAATAGTAGTGTTAGTCGAACAATACGATTGTCAACCCCGAGATAAATTGAATACCATGTTGAAATTGTATATCCTTTTTTCAATTTGCATGTCACCCTTGAAAAAATTACGAGTAAGGAATAGAAACAATCACGAGAAAACAATATATATTTCGTAAATGCTTCTCGCACAAGCGAATTCCATTCGGCGGTAGCTACGATAAATCAAAATCGGCATCCATTTACCACAAACATTTTATTGACGTCAACAAATTGTTCTTAAGGCTATCAAAATAAAGAAGAGAGTCTCAGAAGGAAATGTAAAGATACAATGGTCGGTATGAACAATTTCTTCAAAGGAATCGGTTGAGCTCAATAACTGTAATGGTTGTTGTGATCTATTGCTTGTCGACAATATTGTTATATATTAGACGTTTTTATCAGCGAATAAATTGAATTTGTTGATATCGATATTATCTTTGATAAGACTATAGTATTCATTTGTAAGAAGAGTGCTCTGTTTTATTTTACGTAAAATAGGTAGTGTTACCCGTACAAATATAAAACTCGAATATTTAGTGTTAAAGACTCATAATTATATTGTTAAAACTAAATCGCTGTCATTTTATAACTAGTCCAGTCGATCTAGACCAAAAAAATGAGGTACATAAAGTCCCAACAAGCTAAAATCAGTAAAATTGTTCAAAGCATAATTTTAAATAATATTTAAAAGTTACCCAGCATTCCCGTGTATGGATTTTTTTTATTTAATGTCAAAGGTCAAAAAAATGAAAAACTACTAAGCTTACATACGCGCCCGAATAATAAACAAAGAATGTGTTATATCATAAAGCATTAGAATAATAAACACTTAATTTCTGAAATATTTTTTTTATACATTCAGATTCGAAATTGATTTCAACAACGTTTGTCGGGTCCACTAGTTAAATATAAAAATCAGAAGTATATAATATTTGTGAATAAAAGAAACGATTGTATTCATGTCGTCTTTTTATGAGTGATATTCTTGTATTTAATTTTTTTAACTGTTGTAGGATGCATGTAATACTCCTAACTTTATATTTTATTTGTCTTCTTTCAGTTCCAATTATAGTAATATATCTATATGTTTCATGATAAATCAATAAATCGCCACCCCAGTTCAGCCTTGCGATTCTGTAACTCACTTTTCGAACTCTCACAGCGGTTTTCGCTATAAACAATAAACTACAAGCTCCCTCCTTATCAGAATGCCAAATTGTAAAATGATTGCTTTACGACTGATTTGAGCGCGACCGCCGCTGCGAAAACCGCTGTGAGAGTTCGAAAAGTGAGTTACAGAATCGCAAGGCTTTTTCGGCACAGGCATATACCTGGACTAGTGGACCCGACAAACGTTGTTGAAATCAATTTCGAATTGGTATGTATGCATTATGATATACAAAATTCTTTGTTTGTTATTCTGGCGCGTATATAAATAGCTTTGTACATAATTATTGGAACGAAGTTCCTTATCGCGCGTTGTGAAAGGGGGCTAGACGGAAAAAATTCTTACGAAAAGTTGTCACGGCACTTTTTTGCTATTTGCTGTTGTAATACACCGGTTCTCGTCCGATCACCGAAGTTAAGCAACGTCGGGCGAGGTCAGTACTTGGATGGGTGACCGCCTGAGAACACCTCGTGATGTTGGCCTTTTTTTTTTATCGAGCGTTGCGAAAGGGGGCTAGACGGAATAAATTAAGACCAAAAGTTGTAACGACACTTATTGCTATAGTTGTTATATTTTATATATTCGATTTAGCTATCGCCAACGTCCATACCATATTAATTACACCGGTTCTCGTCCGATCACCGAAGTTAAGCAACGTCCGGCGAGGTCAGTACTTGGATGGGTGACCGCCTGGGAACACCTCGTGATGTTGGCTTTTTTTTTCGTCGTAAGATTGGTGTCGAGATAATCTATCATACTGTTATGATACCAATTAACATATAAATTAATCGAAAGGAATTTCGTTCCATCCGGGTGTCCCTTGACACCTCTAAAGTTTTTTTGTATATATTTTATGGTGGTTAAGTATTCTTAAATTTTCTAATTTTCCGGGTAATTTTCTTAATTTTTTCTTTCATAAGAACCTTCACCTGACAATAGCAAACACAACAAAAAAATAATTAGCGTAATCGGTACAGCCGTTCACGCGTGATGCCGTGACCAAGGGAAATAGGGATTCATTTTTATATTTATATAAATATAGATATGTATCCAGATCATTACTGTCGAACTATACATATACATTGTGTCAACAAAAAGGCATTTTATTAATGCTGCAACCTTTTGAGGTTCTGTTTCCGCACAGACCCTAGTAAATAGATATAAAATATATATGATGATGTAGCCACGTATAAATATAATGTTAATTCGTATTTAGATTACAAAACCAACCTGTCTGAATTATTACCACAAACTATATTTAAGCACGTAAATTATGTACCAATAAAAACCGCAGTGCGCTAACGATCAAAATAATTACTCATTTTAAAGCTAGCTTTGTCTCGCAGTAATTATAAAAAATATGCAATGAAGAGACGGCGTCAAACAAAATAATACAAAAAGCAGTTATTCACACTAGATGAAAGGGCGCGTGCCGGAGATAACGATGTGCTCTAATTACGACTTTTCCTTCCCCTTCACCGTCGTATACGCCCTCGCATTATTGTTCTTCCAATAAATATTTCTAAAGCTACCGTAGCGTTGTGATCATTTCTATAAGCAAATATTGAGTAGGCTTTCTATCACTAAATAAACAAATAAATTATATTACAATTAATATATTAAGGGCGCCTAATCAGTCTGTAGCTGAGAGGACGTTGGAACAAGTGCGACAATACAAGTATTTGGGAACTTGTATTATAAGTAAGTGGAAAGCTGATCTAAATGAGGTCAGATTGAAATTGTTTGAGGATCTTTCAAGTTTTGTGCTGTCGTCACTTTGGTCTGGAGAACTCCAAATCCGAGTTCTCCTTTGTTGTTGTGTTTGTTATGTATGTCTGTGACGCTTGGACAGTAAAAGATGATACCCGCCGGCGCATTTGAGATGTCATGATATCGTCGCATGCT